CCTGAGGGTTGCGATCCGTTGCCGGACACGGAAAAAGAAAAAAAAAAAAAAAAAAAAGAAAGAAAAAAAAAAGAAATTAAATAAGTTAAATAATGTTCACAAGATGACTCAGCCAGGACTCGGGCATGGTCTTCCAAGCAGGAAAGTGAGGTCGCTGCCCCCTGGCCCCCAGCTCTCCACCTGCACAGAGGCAACCCACGCCCGATGTGAGGCCTGCCGGGGACACCCAGCTGTCGCGGCTCAGGGGAACTGAGGCCAGTGTCTCCACACTCACACCAACGTGGTATCCAAAGGAAACATCCTGACCCTTCACACAGACATCAGGAACCTAATTCCCAGCATTGAAGCCATGCAATGGGATGGGCATTTTCCAGATGGTTCGTAGTGGAGCTGCTTTCCACCTCGCACTGCGTCGGAAAGACAATCCCAGGATGTTTTCATCAGCTCCCAGGGAGAGATTGAGGTCTATTGCATGAGGAGATTTGTGGCAGTGGGGCTGGGAAAGGGAACTGGTGGTGACGGAGCGGCTGGAGCCCAAGTCCCTTCAGTAGGGTGTCTAGTGCCTGAATCTAGGTTTCCCTAGAAGCTGAAAGAGGGCCAAAATCCAACGTCGCTTCATAGGGGACATCTAGGCAGGTTACTGATGTCAGCAACCCTGCTTCTTGCCCCATCGATTTCTGCATCTGCGCCTCCCTGTGGCTGTGCCTGGGCCTCGTCATGAAGACGTCACGGCCAGCCTGTGCGCCCACCACCGCCCACACCTCCTCTCAGCACTAGCTGCCTCTCCTCAGCCTTGTGTGTCTCTGGGACTCCCTGTTAAAGGCCACTGTGTCTGGGCACAGATGGGGCCATCGGGCTGCTCCTGGAGAGGAGAAGGGAAGCATCCCTGCCCAACTTTTTCCTCCCGACTCCAAGAAGGTGTTCTTATGCAACCAGAAGGTCCTGCATGGAGGAACAGTGGCTGAAGCGGTGGCTTTTGGCTTTTGTCCTTTTCGAGGGAGGGAAGAACACTGGAGGATAAGGTGCTGTGCTGAGAGCAGGGTCCGGGAGCACTGGGCGGGCAGGGAGCAGGCGGGCTGGGGGCAGGGCTGTGGTCCGGCAGGGATGCTGGGCTCTGTCTGTGCCGACAGCTCCTTCCTGAGCACCTTCGCACCTCAGCACTGCCCTGGCCTGTGGGTCAGCTTGACCCTGCAGAGGGCAGGCTTGATCGAAATGGTGGGCTTCTCTATAAAACGGGAATGATAGTGGCCATTCTATGTGGCTTCTGCAGGGATGAAATGGCGTGATGCGTTTAGTTGCCCCACTGTGGCACTGGGCTCAGTCCGTGCTGGCCCCCTCCTCCCCTTCTTCTCCACAGATGGTGGTACCAGGATCGACTGCTTTGCTATTCGAAACTATGCCTTTTGGGCCTTCCATTCGGGGGCTGGGGATGGGGAGAGGGAGTCCAGGTGCTGGATGTCTGATCAGCCCCCCTTTTTTTCTGCCCTGGATGCAGGGGGGCGCCTGGACCAGCTTGCCTGCACCCTACCCAAGGAGCTGCGGGGGAAGGACATGCGCATGGTCCCCATGGAGATGTTCAACTACTGCTCCCAGCTGGAGGACCAGAACAGCTCAGCGGGCCTGGATGTTCCTGGGCCAGCCTGCACCAAGGCCAGCCCAGAGCCTGCTAAGCCAAAGCCCAGGGCTGAGCCTGAGACAGAGCCCAGCACAGCCTGCCCCCAGAAGCAGAGGTACCGGCCCGTGAGCGTGAGGCGGGCCATCGGCACTGTGATCATCGCAGGCGTCGTCTGCGGCGTCGTCTGCATCATGATGGTGGTGGCCGCTGCCTATGGCTGCATTTATGCCTCGCTCATGGCCAAGTACCACCGGGAGCTCAAGAAGCGCCAGCCACTGATGGGGGACCCCGAGGGCGAGCATGAAGACCAGAAGCAGATCTCTTCTGTGGCCTGAGAGCCCACCCCACCTGGCCAGGTAGGAAGGCAGGGAGAACACACCGGGCTGCTCCAGCAGGGCCAGTCCTTCCTTCTGTCATGGTCCCTGCTTGGCTGGCAGTGGCCACCGCCTCCCCCCAGTTCCACTCTGCTCCCAGCCCCCAGCAGACAAGCCCGGCTGGGGCCCTCTCCATGAACTTCAGGTCCTCCTGGAAGCCGCCGTGGCGCTGAAGCCTCCTGCTGATGCTCCTCTCTGGGCCACCAGACCTTTGGAACCTCCGGGGGATCTCCCTAAGCTTCTGGCCACAGGGATGGACTGTGTGTGCAAGAGGGGGCTTCTGGACTGAGACTTCCTCTGTTCCCCTTCCTGCCCTGGGGGTAGTCACAGCTTGGAGACTCTCCCTACCTCTTGCCCTTCCCCACCTCGTCAGCATTTAAGGGGTGGGGAGGGAGTGATAAGGGGCCAGGGGTAGATTTCTGTAACTCTCTCCTAAGCCAGACAGATGTTTTTAACCCCCCTGCAGTGTGAAAGCGGGTCCAGCTCTCACCTGCTGGTACTAACAAGCAGACACACCAACCCTGTCACCTGGCCCTGGCACTTAGAAACACAGTGCTGTGATATAACGTTCTCCGTTGGCTGACGCCGCTACGCCCCTGTATCTGCTGTGGACCACACTGACCACACCGCTCCTGGAGCCACTAACTCACTCCCACACACTCATGGCATCACCAGCACAGCCACACAGCGTGACACAACTCACACACACACACAGCCATGTGGAGACAGCGCCGTGAGGGTGGGGGCGGCAGAGACACACTCCTCCCCTTGACCCGGGACCCGGGACCTCCTGCCTGCTCACTGCAGCCTTCTTGAGTCACAAGGAGGAATACAAACCAATAACACAAGGACCTCAGAGATCTTCTCAAGTGGGCCAAAGTAGCTGCAGGAGGACTGCTGTCACCATGGCAACCCATCGCACCTCTCCTGCTGGGCTTCCTGGGGACACCGCCAGGAGGCCTGGGAGCTGCGGCACGTGGATAGCACCCCCTGAGAGCCAGCCACACGCCAGAGGGTGCCTGCTCAGTCCTGCCCGGTGCATCACCACTGCCAGGCCCCCTGGGGACACCTGCTAGTCCCTTCCTGTACCTGCAGCCTGAGCACCGTTCCTCTGTACCTCTCACCCCTCCCTCCCCAGCACCTTCCAGCCCATGACCTCGGGACTGAGTTGTTCTCTGCAGTTGGTGGCACCCCCTGGGGAAAGGAGGTGGCAGGCAGAGAACTCAGTGGCCCTCACTGGGGCTCGCTGCCCACTGGCACACCCAAACAGACTGCAGGGCCAGGAGGAGGCAGCCACATTCTGCTGAGGCTTTCACGACGGGGTTCCTTTCCCAGGGTTTATCTGCTCAGGCTGCCTCCCCGGAGCTCCTAATTGCCCCTGGATTACAGTCCAAACCAGGGAGTGGGCCAGGGGTCCTGTCTGGAACAGAGAAAGCTGCCTCCAGCCCGTGCAGATTTTCAGGGTCACTAATCTCCCTTTCGAGGTCTGCCCTTCCCCTAGTCTGGGTGGGTACCTAGGTCTCCCTCTGCTGGACACTGCCTTCCTCATGCCTAACGAGGGTTGCGACGGGGGTTACGGTGGTGGCACAGGAAGAGATGAAGGATCTGCAGAGGGTGTGAAGGGGCAGGCCCAGCTCACCTTGTCCCCTTCGACCCAGCCTACTCCTAAAGGAGCGTGGTGGGTGGGGCAGGCCGGGAAGGAATGCCTTTGAGAAGGTCACCCTCCAGCAGGTGGACAGGGACACCCTGGGCCCTGGCTGCCTTCCCTAGGCTGGGGGCAATGTCTTCCTCCTTCTTTTGGCTTGTGGGCTGACACCGGATCTGGAGATTTTCTAAAGGGAAGGGGGGAGGGGAGGGCTCGTCAGTGGTGGTATCTTTAGCCCAAGACGGAAGATTTTTAAAGGCAAAATTATATTTCTGGTTTGTTGTTTCAGAAGACCAATAAAGACTGTATTTTCCTACGTACTTCCTGGCTTCACTGGGTGGGAAGTGGACGTGGGTGCTGGGAGAATTGCTTCCTGCCCCCCCAGCTCCCCAGGCAGCTGACAAAGTGCTGACGGATGTCTCCCTGGTGCACAGAGCTCCCCTCGGCAGATGGCTGCCTCGCCCCTGGGGCCACGCTGCATGCCCTGGGACAGGAGAGGACACGGAGTCCTGGGTAGAGTGGGTCTCTGTGGTGGGGGAGCAAGCTCGGGTCATGGCGAGCTGGCCTTCTAAGCCAGCCCGCATTCTGGCTGGCGAGCCCCAGGGGCGTTTTGCTGGGCAGCACCCAGGCTTGTGGGGGGAAAGTGAGCGTGGGGTGCTCACCAGCCTGGCGTGATGTGAATCGGGCCTGGCAGCCAAAGGCAGATGGGCCATGCGGTGAGAGGGCACGGTTTGCCCAGGGTACCTGCTGTGCTCAGAGGGAGGCAGCGTGAGGGCTTTTCTGCCTGGGCCTCGTGAGTCTTGTGAGGCTCTGCTGACAGTGATGGGGCTCATTTAAGCCGTTAGCATCGCACTCTGTCAAGACCAACTTCAGGCAAAGAACATCTGGGCTCATGAGTATGGTCCCTCCATGGGGCTCAGCAGTGGGGAATCAGAATTATGGACTGGGGGAGGGAGGGTGGGTGCTGAGGAGAGGGGACAGCAGGAGAGGAAGGCCTCTGGGATTACTAGGCACTCCAAACCCGAGTGACAAGCCAGGCTCGCTGCGTGCCCAGTGGCCCACCTCCAGGGCTGGACTGGCCTCTGGCCAACAGGGTCTGAACTCTATGGTTCATTAGTCTTCAGAGACTAAGATGGATTTTCTCCTTCTCAGGAGCCATCCTTTGGATGCCAACCCAACAAGCCAAGAACCAGCCCCACCCAGCAAGAAGTGAACCATTAGGGTGTTTGTTCGTAGAGCCCAGCTCGACTCCGTGCACAATGGGGCTGTTCACCCTGCCCAGGCAGTGATGAGTGTGGGGACGCAGCCTTCCTCCAGCCCCAGTAGCCATAGCAGGCTGAAAACAAGCTTTCCCCAGCCCCACTGCAGAAACAAAGGACAGGGTCTCTGCAATGCCTTATTCAAATGTCACGGTTCCCAGAGAGAACCCCACAAAGGTCTGAAGGTGAGGGCCTACTTAGGCAGCTCCAGACAGCAGGCCCAGCACCCAAAGACCCCTGTGCAAGGGCCACCCGACAGAGAAACACGCTGCACATTATGGCACCATGGTCACTACGCATGTCCACATTCCTCACCTCGGGCCTGGAGGATGTGCAGAATTGAAAGTGAGTCCTGATCAAGAAGCTAGATTTTTAGAAATTCTGCATGAGTTGTTGATAAGTCAGCTGCTTAGAGACTAAAATGATCCCCCCTCGTCCACCTGCCCTTCTGTGTGAACCCGCGGCGACACACACAGCAGCTGCGCACGCCACGCAGCCGCCTGTAGCTGGTCTGAGTGTCCTTCCCCTACTTTCCCTGGCTCTGTGCTCAGATGTCACATGTGCAACCCCCATCGCAGACACCATGCTCATGTCCTGTGCTCATGTGCACATAGGGTCACCAGCTTCCAGAGACAGCAAACAAGCTACCACCCTCCTTGAGTGGCAGGCCCCAGCGAGCCACAGGATCAGGACTGAACCATAAGCCAGGGAGAGGAAATTACAAACGGGGACAAAAAGGAAAATATGCATTGAAGCATCGGGTCTCCAGTGCCTCATCTTTTCCTGTCACATCCATGCACCCCAGAGCGCAAGAGCGTCTGCCGCAGCAGTGAGTTGAACCAGAGGCACTGGGACACGGTTTCCATGGCAACCCTCTCGGCTCTAATTCAGCTCTGAGTTAAAATGATATGAAATAATTGGAGAACGCAGGAAAGCACAGCCAGCAGCCTGGCCCTGTGTTCCTTCTCCCTCCTAGACCCGCCGGTGCACAGGAGCCGAGAAGGCTCACAGCATGTGGGAGCAGGATGGGAACGGGCTGGGCTGGGACCACAGACGTTCTCTAGGGAGACAAGTTTGGGGTCAAAGTTTGGCCTGGGAATGGGTCTGGGATTAGTGTGGCCGGGGCTGTGGCAGCTGGGATGGCAGGAGTTCCTTCCAAGTGCTGTATGCAGCTGCATCCCGCAGACTCCTGGAGATGCATCTCCTACCTAGGGTGTGCGGCAATGTCACACTGAGGCATTGTCACCACTTCTTACTCCAGAGTGGAGAGCAGCCCAGGACCGTGACCCAGGGCAGCCCTGGGCCCTCTCTGCGGCGGAAAGACAGAGCCTGCTCATTCCATTCCCACTGCCTGAATCCAGCCCAGGGCAGAGGTGCACTGCCCCTGCCGCCCACCCCAGCCTGGCTGCAGGAGCCAGGCTCACGGCCACACAATGCTGATGGGTGAGTGCCCATCGGATCGTGCAGCTTCTCGTAACATGGCTGGGCCCGGGACACGGAAGCTGAAACCAGGTTAAGGATGGCTTCATTGCAGAAGCCTGACAACTCTCAGACAAGGAGACAGTGCCACCAGGACTTTCATAGGCACCAAGAAACTACAGAACCAGGGATGCTCATGAGGGCACCGGGTGCTCTTGTCATGTGAGTTGTGGCACTCTGTGGCACAGGGCAGAGAACCTGGGCTCTAGAGAGAAGTGCCCAAGCTCAAATGCTAGCTTCACTCATTATTAGCTGTGGGTCTTTGGGCAAATAACTTTCCTGTCTCGGTTTCCTCATCTGTAAAATGGAGCCAGACACATCGCTTTCACTGGGTCACCCTGAGGAACAAATGAGAAGGGCCCGGGGGCAGTCCCCACGGTGCTGGCATGTACTGCACATGCATATTGAGCTCTTACTTTGGGGATCTGAGTCACAAGCCCAGCTCCCCTCGAGGCTGACACTAGAGCCCAAGGCAACAGGAGAGGGAAGCGACAGCTGGGCGGGAGGGAGGTCTGGCCAGTGCCCATCCTGTGTGACCTTGGGCGGATCTCGGCCTCTCTGGGCCTCGTTTCACTCCCTGCATGCATTCTCTTGATCTGCGGTTTCACAGTTTTATAAACACAGCGGGTTAGGAAGATTCCACCTCCCTCATCCCCACAGTTTACCTGGGAAAACTACAGCTGGAGGACTGTGGCCTGGGCAGACCACCAGGGTCCTCCTGCTGTCACCGGGTGCCTTACTCTGACATTGACTCACAACCTCCTGGCCTCAGTGGCACCAAGGCAGCTCCTACCTGCAGCAATGGCTGTCTTCTTGTCCACGGTCACGGCTACAGCTGTGCTCGCCGTCACTCCCACTGGCTCGCCCGCACCTTCTAGGGAAACAAAGATCACCAAGTCACTTTCTCAGCACCCCAGAAGAGAAGTGGTTGGGGTGAGCTGAGCCTGCCACTAACTTGGAGTAGAAGACAGATATGAATACCAGGCTAAGACACTGCTTGACTAACCCAGGCAGGGGTTGCGTTTGCAGGAGTCATTGCTGTGACGGGTGGTTACCATCAACCATGGGTCATGGCAGAGTGCCTCCTAAGTGCCAGATCCGTCCCTCCTTTCTGTGCAGATCTGAACTTGCCAGGTGAACACGTGGTCTCCAGCCACCTGAACAATGTGGTGGTACCATCGGCATCATGCTGCCACTGTGACTTGTGCTCTGTCTCAAGGCCTTGAGCTCTAGGTGGCATCAGTTCAGGGACCCTGCAGTGTCCTGTCCTCTCAGCATGTGTCTTACCCAGAGACCTATGCTGCACCAGGACGGGGTGTGGGTGACTCTGGGTCGCCCTCTGCAAGTCAGCACAAGTCAGAGGTGCAGTGACCGTCCTGCTCAGGAAGCTGGATGCCACAGGGAGCTGTACACCCGAGGCGCTCCATAAATCCTGGTGGTTGGCGGTGGCCGCCCCATCCTGCCCCACCCCACCCCACACCTTTGGCTCGCTTCACAGACGTTGCTGCACTCGGTCCGGGATACTGCCAGGCCCTGGAGGCAAGAGGGCTTGCCTTGCTTGGCTGTTCCCAGTTATTTTAGGAGAACCAGGCCACTACAGGTGCGGAACTTGGAGGGCAGTTTCAGCTGTCCCTTAGAACGGAGCTCTCTGGCTCTGGAGGGTGGAGGACTATGGCCCAGGCAGACCACATCAGGGTCCTCCTGCAATCACGGGAACCTTACTCCAACGCTGACTACAGCCTCCTGCCCTTTCGCTTTCTTTACAGATGTTACTGTGTGGCCGCGGCTGTCTTTCTTCCCATCAGCCTGTGGCCCTGGACCAGCTTGTCAAAGCAGTCTTGTCTCCAGGTCATATTCCAACAAAGGGGCAAAACTTTTTCATGTGCTATCATATTTTGTTAGAATGTCTTGCTATCAAATCTGCATGAAACAAACCAGTCCTGGGAATCCTGTAGAGACTGCTACCACAACAGTGTCAGTACTAATGGGACTTAGCATCTGCCATAGCGCTAAGATCTCCCATCACACCTTGCAGAAATCAAATATCTCACAGAAGTCTAAAACTACTCTCTGATTCCAGGAACTTACAATATGTAAGGTTATCCTTGGTTCTAGAAATTTGTTATGATGAAGTCCAAGGGACCACAATAGGCACAGAAATTGACTGCCCCGTCCTGTTTCTGGAAACATCTAGAAGACAGTGTTGTGTCTGACCCTGCAGGACTTCCTGGGCGCTGCAGGCTGCTTCCAGCCACAGGGTCTGCTGAGCGTGTGCTCCAGCCAGTATAGGCTTGTAGAAAACACCAAGTGAGGGTGTAGAGACCCTAATGACGTGGTCTCCAGGACACCAGGACTTTGGTGCCTGGGTCACAGTGGCTTCCTGGACCACACTGGGGGTGGATGAGCAGGGTCGCAAGTGCAGGTGGGACTTGCCCAGGGCTGGCCCTGGATGAGACAGCTGTATAAGGAGGAGAGACAGACCCGAGCACCTGGGCACTGGCAAGACTGCCACATGCTGGCAGGTTTCTCAGGCACTGGCTGCAAAAGACAGCTCCACGTGGGCAGAACTCAGCCCACCAGGCCCCAGGCACGGTGGCAGCATCAGCTGGGGAGACAGGGAGCCTCCACTCAGGCTGCAGCCAGCTCCTCCCCTCCTCCTCCGCCTCCTCTGGGTTCTTCCCCCATTAAAATGAGACTGCTGTTTTCTTTTAGGGGTGGATGGGAGTGTGCAGAGGTGTGGAGCTGAGCAAGCAGCCGTGGGTGTGCAGGGACAGCTCTGCCCCTCCCTCCTCAGCAGCCCCCTTTTGGGTCACCAGCTTCCCTCTGTTCCCTTGTGGCTCAGTCCCCCAGCCACGGCCCTTGCACCTCACTACCACGTAAAGCTCCCCCAGCAGCCAGCAGGAGAGTCCCAGTGACAGGGCAGGCAGAGGGCACCATCACCAGGGGCTGGGGGCAGGGGCCACGGCCTCACCCCAGACACCCTAAAGAACCTCCCCAGGCACCGGAGGGCGCTCCGCCCTGCTACAGACCCGCAGCCAGGGAGGAAGAGCTGCCTCCTTCTGCCTCAGAGTGGGCAGTGAGGGATGGGGACCTCCACCTTGGCTTTGAGAACCTGCCTCACGGGCTTGCATTGGGAATAAAAATACCCCCCTTTTTCCCCCCTCCTGCCTTACATTCAGTGAAAGAGCCTGAACTTTGGTGAGCAGACCTTGGTTCTAGCCTGGCTCTGTGGCTCCCTTGCTATGTGATCCTGGGCAAGTCACAGAACCTCTCTGAGCCTCAGACTCTCCCCGTGGAGGATGAGAGAAAATAACTACGCTTATCTCATGGGCTGGTGCAGATCGAACGAGTTATGTGCAGAGAAACATTTCGTAAAGCATTTAGTGATGGGCGCCTGGGTGAAGGGAGCTGCCGTGGGCTGGAGAGGCAGGCACAGCACAGGCAGGGAAGGCTGCAGGGGGCTCAGGGGTGCCGCTCCTCCTGCTGTCAGCCTCCCCAGCACCAGCCCTGGCAGTTTCTCCACCATGCGGCTGGAGGATGGTTTTGGCAGAAGTGGTGGTTGGAAGGCTATTGGGGGAAGGGCATCTTGAGCTCGCTCCGACGTCCCCACTGCTTTCCCCCCACCGCCTACCTGCGCCTGGATGCTTCCTGGGGGCCCCGCTCACTGTGCTGGGATCTGATCCCCCAGTGGTAACCTGCTGTGGAGCTGCTCGGCCACAAACTCTTGGGCCCTGGACAAGCCACTCAACCTCCTGGGCCACAGTCTCTCCAAGTGTAAATCAAGAGGGAAAGGCTATGCAGACTCCAAGGGTCCTCTGGGTTTTAAACATTTTGCAGCTTTCTTGGTTGTCTGTTAAAGTCATTTAATTTTCCTTTTTTTGAGGGGACATTTTCCAGAGTGGGAGCTGGGGGTTGGGAGTCAGGTGTCTGCCAGCTCTGAGAACCTTCCTGGTCCTTGGCCTGGTAGGGATTTGCTGGCTTGGGCTGTGAGGGCCCGACCCCGGCGCCCTCTTCACACCTGGGAGCCCCCAGTCCTTTCCCGCCATAGGAGCAGGCTGGGGCCCCGTGCTGCCGCTCCTGCGTGATCCTGAGCACTGGAGGCAAGGCTGCTTACTTTTGTTTGGGAAGAGCCGTGGCGGCCCTGCCCACCTGGTCAGTGCAGCGACTCCCAGTGAAATTCTGCTACTTTCATCTGGGTTGTTTACAGAACTTTCAAAGACAGAGTTTTAGAAATAGAAGAATCTTAGAGATCTACTCTTCTGATCTCTTCATATTTGGAATTTGGGCTAGAAATTCCCCTGGCTGGGGAATAGCACGGCAGCCCTGCATCCAGTGCAGGGCCCGCGGTCACGAAGCTGCATCAGGAGGGAGGGGAGGGAAGCAGCCCTGGGGGTCTGGACGCTGCGTTCATAATCTCCCACCAGGAGCGCAGCTTGGAGGGGCAGCCTGGTCCTGGGCCATCCCCAGGAGCAGGGGGCTGTGGTTTACCTGGTCCCTCTGCCCAGCGGAGGTTGAAGACAAAGCTGCCTGCGGGCTGCTCCGAGGCCTGGCGGTACCACACAGGGAAGTGGTCCAAGGTGAACGTGCTGCTGCTGTCCTCAGGCGTCAGGAACTTCCTGCGAGGAGGAAGAGTTGGCACCTCCCCTGAACCCGGGAACATGTTCGTCCTTTTCCCTTTTCCACACAAGATCACCTTGGCTGGGCCAAGACAGTGATTCCGCTCTACTCTGGCAGCATTGCAGATGGGCTCGTGGCAGACCTTAGCCCTGGGTCAGCACTGCCCCGGACCAGGAGCCCCAGCAACTCCTGCCCTTTCCAGAGTCAACGTGAAGTTGCCTCTGATGGTGCAGTAGGAGCTCGGGGGGCACAGGGTCTGCGTGATGGGCTATGCTTTCCATCTTTACGAAAACCCTTCATTTGGACGTCACCCCATTTCCTTTGTCTGGCTGGCTGCACGTCTGAGGAGACAGTGTGGTCACGCTGTCTACCACTGCACCAGCGGAGGGCGTGGGTCCCCAGCACGCTCCTCCGGAAGCACCCGTCTGGGTCCCTCTTTTTGAGCCGCTCTGCCTTGCTGAGCGTCGGCGGTGCTGGGCCAGGAGTGGCCGCGGTTGGTGCTGTGCCACCTGCCACCTCGGCAAGGTCTCTGCGTGTGGAGACCTCCTTGTTCCATCCTTGGAAGCCTTTAAAGAGGGTGTGGACAAAGCCGGAGCGTGGGAAGGGGCCCCGCAGCGTGCTCGCCTCTCCACGTAGCGAGGGACAGGGAAGAGCAACTTCGTGTGCTTTCCTAGAAAGCCTTGGCTTTGCTTAGCAAGTGTGGATTTGTCACAGAGTCCTGGAAGAAGCCCAGAGACGGCACTCCGCGGCTGAGCGTGCTCGGGTTAGCGAGAGAAGCAGCTGCCGGTGGGAGGCGAGGAGAGCGGGGTCGGCTCTCCCCAGAGCCCCCTCTGTTCTCCAGGTGCCCGGTAGCCCTCACCTGCTTGAGTCTCCCAGGTTGCGGAGCAACAGGTGGCGCTGTCCCCACCCCCTCCTTGGGCCCAGCCTCCCTGTGAGGGCGGGAGCCTGCGGGGCGACAGGCAGGGCTCTCCCAGCATCCCGCCTGTGCTTAGAGCAGGGTTTCTCAGCCTCAGCACTAGTGACATTTTGGACCAGATAACTGTGGTAGGGGCTGCCTGTGCCAATCTTTAGGATGTTTAGTGGCATTCCTGGCCTCTACCCACTAGATGCCAGTAGCAGCCTCCCCACTTCCCCCAGCCGTGACAACCAAAAATATCCACGGACATTGCCAAAGGCCCCAGGAGCGGGGCAAAGTCACCCCCAGGTAAGAATTGTTGGCTTAGGGTCTAAAGCCTTCCATGTGCCACAGGGAGCTACCAGGTGAGAAGAATAATCCTGAATCTCCCACGTGATTAGGGAGCGGCTTGTCCGTAAGGCCACGCCGGGTACAGGGCTCCAGCAGCAGCCCCTCTGCCTTAGGGGCAGAGAAAGCGTCCACAAAGTGGGGACACTGCCAGCAGATTAAGCTTGTCACGTAGAGACCGGTCCCAGAGAGGAAAACAATGTTGGGTTTCTTAGAGATTCCTCCAAGTGGGATCTCTGGTCGACCCTCTCACTTTGAGATCTTGGCTGCTCTCTTCCCTGGCTGGACCACGCTCCATCCTCTCCTGGATGTGTCCACGCCTGGGTGGAAGGGTTACTTTTCTCTCTCGATCTGTAAATCCCAGCCCTTCTGTCCACGCTGGACTCCCGGAGGCCTAGCACGCTGGAGACCAATCTCTGTCCTCACAGGCCACAGGGACATGTCTGAGAATTCAGTCCTTTTCCACCCTGCAGGGACCATGCTCCCCAGAGCAGCCAGTAGGACTCACCTGTCAGAGACCTTCTCGGAGCCCACGAGCAAGCTGCTTCTGAGGAGGCCGGCCCGGGTGCCCAGGAAAGCCATGTCCACGTGCTCTGACTCACTGTGAGGCAGACGAAGCAGGAGGATGCAGCAGCAGGTCCCCAGGGGCAGGAGAGAGCTCAGAGAAGACCTGCAGGGGTTTCTGGGCCTCTCTGAACTTGCGCCTGACCTGAATCAGGGGGAACTTTCCAGGAAGGCTGCATTCTGGCTTCCAGGCAGCACCTCTCTTTGTGAAGTGGACCCCTGGGCCTCTGCCTCTCTGCATTGTCAGATCTAGCTCCTAATTCGTCCACCTGGCTTGCGGTTGGGGTGCGGGGGAGGTTGGATTTGGAAGATAGAAGGAATTCAGGAAGGGAGATTTTGTCCCAGAACAGTAACTTCTCGTGACTAGCACGTGCATAACGCTTCATGGTTTCAAAGTCCTTTCCCATATTTTTCCTGTTACTGAAATGTGAAGGGAAGAGGAGCAGGCACCATCCACACCCCTAAGAGAAGTCCTGTGGACTTTGTGACCTTGCCAACAAGACTGAAAAAAGGAAACTTCATCAGCTAGCCTGAGTGTGACTAGTTTTCCTGGCAGTCTCAAAGCCATAACGCTATGATGATGGCACCAGAGTGTGAAAGCGGATGGCACCAGGGGGAGGTCACCACTTCTAACTTGGCTAATTTACTGGAGGTTGTTACCCAGTCTGATCTGTGGGCTTTAGTGAGTTCACAAGGCCGCCCATACCCAAAGCACTGCCCCAGGCAGCGTCTTCTCATCAAGGCTCAGGGGTCAGCCTGTCGGGTCTTCCCTAAGAGGTTATGAGGGGAGGCTGCTCCATGCAATGAGGAGGAACAGCATCCAGAACTGGATCTAAAGTCTGGAAAATCGAGGAAAAGATCAGAGATTCGGGCAGGGGTCTCACCCAACTCAAGTGCTGGAGAGACAGGGCTGTTACAGGGCGAGCGCTGGGATCATGTGGGACTTAAAGATTACAGCCCTGGAGCCCCGCAGGAGACCCGGAGTCAGACTCTGGGTGGGGCCTGTGTGTCTCTGAGGAGCTTCCTGATCTAATTCTCTACCAAAAGGTAGGGAGGAGCTGAGGCGCTTCACCACCTGAAACGCAGCCACAACAATTACCAACCCCTGGCCCTACCCCCTCAACCAGATCATTTTGAAGCAAATCCCAGACATTTCCTCGGCAAATATTTAAATTTGTATCATTAAAATATAAGGATTTTTTAAAAACCTCAATGCCATTATCACATCTGTTAAAAAACCCCACAATTCCTTAACATCATCAGATAATCCAGTTGCCTCATGAATTTTTTACGGCTTGGTTGCCTCAGAATCTAAGGCCCAGGTGTTGTCACTGGTTGATACCTCTCTGTCTGTCGTTTCTCTCTCCAGGTGTGTCTTTATTGAGTTATAATCCACACACCATACAGCTCACCTACGTAGAGTGCAGTCCAGTGGTTGTTAGTCTATTCACAGAGTTGTATGGCCATCACCACGTGAACGTTTGGACACTTTCATCACCCCATAAGAACCCCCATCGCCACAAGCAGTCCTCTGTAGTCTCTTTTAACCTGATTCCTTTTCTCCCTTCTCTCTCTCTCACCCTTCTGTTTTTCTTGCAATTTGTTTGCTGACCAGCCTAGGTCATTTGTCCCGTGGAGTTTCTCCCTGTCTGGACGTGGCTGACAGTGGGGCTGCGGTATTATTGGGCATGCTCTGTTGTCTCCGGTATTTCCTATAAACTGGCCGTTAGACCTGGGGGCCTGGCCAGATTCAGGGGTGAGTTTTCACAGGTGGTGTATTCTTCATCAGGAGAATATACGTGCCACCCGATTGGTTAGTGGTTGCAAAATAGTTGTTTTCCTTCATTTCTTTATTGTTTTATTCTTACCTGAAAAACTTATATAAAGAAAAACTTCCCCTTATCAATGTTTGCTTATCCTGTGCAATTTGCACAGGAGAGGCAGGATAAATAACTGATTCTTTCTGTTTACCAGTTTTTAGAATAATGAGTTGTTTTCTAACATCTTCCAAAGATGACCCATGAGGTGTTTTTTTTTTTTTTTTGTCTTTTTGTCTTTTTTCGTGACCGGCAATGGATCGCAACCCTCAGTGTCGCGCCCGTACCGGACCGAGACTGGCAATGGGATCGCAACCCTCGGTGTTGCGCCCGCCCCTCACTTCGTGAGCGGCCGGTCTGTATGTGGGATCCGAACCCTCGGTGGGAGCGTCGCCGTGCTCCCAAGCAGCGCACTGTAGCAGTGCGCCACCAGGCCGGCCCACATGAGGTATTTTTTTTTTCCCCCAGTATCATCATGAACCCAAGTATTTTAACATATTGAATGGGTTTCACTGCTCTAATTGTCCCACCTTTGGCCAGTGAAGTTTCTTCAAATGGGCTCTGGATCCCTTTGGCACAATCTTCCTAGTCATCAGTAACTTACTGCTTCCTAGTATGAGATGTTCCACTTAGGAAGACGGTAGCTAAGCTAGGTGGACAAGACGTTCCACTTAGCGAATTTAGAGGGCGTCAATCTGAGAGCTGAGAAGTACAGTCTCAGTAGAGTTTTAATTTGCATTTTTTTTTTTTTTTGGTGGCTGGCCTGTATGGGGATCCAAAACCTTGACCTTGGTGTTATCAAGCACCAGGCTCTAACCAACTGAGCAAGCCAGCCAGCCCTGCATTTATTTTATTATGAGGTAGGTCGAGCATTTTTCTATATATTTATGGACTATTTGCATTGTTTCTCTATGAACTGTCCATATCTTTTGACCACGTTTTTTACAAAATGGTTCGGTTATTACTTCTCTGTCTAAAATGTTTTGTTTTTTACCATGAATATATTATATATAGCAACCCTTTATCTGTTTTATGAGTTGCATTATATTTTATTTTTGCTGTATAAACATCCTTACATTGTTAAGTTTATCAGGTATTCCTTTATTGCTTCTGAATATTGGTTCATTATTAGGAAAGTTTTCCACACTCCTAGATTTTACAGACATTGGCTCATGTTTTCTTTTAGTTTTTATATGGTTACATTTTTTACATTTAAATCTCTGATTCATTTGGACTATCCAGGTGTATGGTGTGAGAAAAAAATACAATTTTTTCCTTCTCTATATGGCTTTCAAGCCAGTTATTAAGAAGTTCCTCCTTCTCTCACTGATTTGACAGGATGCCTTTGTCATATACTAAATTTCCACACGCATTTAAAAGGAGTAACTGGATTTTCTACTCTGTTCCCGTGGTCTCCTGTCTAATCACACGCCAGCACCGCACTTTGTAGACTGTAGAGGTTCTGCAACATGCTTGACACCTTGGTGGGACCAACCTCCCTCCATCTCTTTTCTTTTTTAGGGACTTCCTGGCTATTCTCGCCTCTCATCCAAATGAACTTTATAATCAATTTATCTGGATGCAGAAAAATACTGATGGCATTTTTTTTTAAATTGCCTTAAATTTATAAGTTAACTTAGGGAGGATTAATATCTTTATGATGTTGAGTCTTCCTACCCAGAAACACTGTATGTTTCACCAAGGTTACAAAGTCAAAGGTTCAGATCCCCTCACCAGCCAGCCCCCAAAACAAAAACAAACAAAACAACCACTGTATATCTTTCTATGTGTTCAAGTCTACTTTTGTGTATTTCAGGAGTGTTTCATAATTTTCTTTATATAGGTTTTTGGACAGTTCTTATAGTTTATGCCTTATATGTTCTCATCGTCTTACAACTTTATATTTCTTATTTCTTGCCCTTCTAAATAAGCTGTCTCATATTATATCTTCTATCTGGTTTTTTTGTAAAGATAAAAGTTACTAACTTTTTTTTTTTCCTTTTTGTCTTTTTTCGTGACCAGCAACGGATCGCAACCCTCAGTGTCGCGCCAGTACCGGACCGGGACCGGCAACGGGATCGCAACCCTTGGTGTTGCACCCGCACCTCGCTCAGCCAGTGAGCAGCTGGTCTGTATGTGGGATCCAAACCCTTGGCGGGAGCGCCGTCACGCTCCCAAGCGGCGCACTGTAGCAGTGCGCCACAGGGCCGGCCCATAAAAGTTACTAACTTTTGAATGTCGATATTATAACCTGCTACTTTACTAAATTCTTTATTGGTTATAGTAGTTTTCCTATTAATTCTTTTGGAGTTTCCAGGTGTATAATGATATCATCTTTGAATAGAGATAATTTTACTTCTTCCTTTTCAGTCCTCATGGCCTGATGGCTTTCTCTTGTCTTATTGCACTGACTAATGACCCTGTTAAATCGTAGCAGGGACGTGGGCCTGCTTGTCCTGTTCCTGCCTTTATGGGAGAGCCTCTCACCCCACTGAGATGCTGGCTTTCAGGTTTAGGTCAACTTTAACTTTATTGAATGGCTTTCAAAAAATATGAATGGATATTAATATTGTTCAAATGCCTTTTCTGCATCTATGGAGATGGTTATATAGTTTTTCTCCCTAGCTTTAAGTTATTTTATATTAATCCCCCAGGTCATCTTTCCTAATGCACACCCTGGTTAAGAATATTTGCTTCTTAATGTTTCTCAACATTTAAAAACATCTGTGGTGAATCTCTGAACTTGGAAAGATGAAGATTGTGCCTTTTCTCTCCAAACCCAGTGATCACCGCTCTGTAGAAAGCAGGACAGGACAGGGGTTAAGTATCTAGACTCTGGAACCAGGCTGCCTGCTTTTGATGCCAGCTCTGCCACTTAGGAGGCACATGCCTTGGGCGAGTGGCTGATCTCACTCTGCTTGGGTTTCCTAATCCATAAAGCGAGAGTGATGGCGACCTACATCGCAGCATGTTGTGGGGATCGAGCGGGTCAGTACACACTGAGTGCTCGGAACCAGGTCCGGCCCACTGTGTTCTTTTTCTTTCTGTATTTTGGTTTTGTTTAATTTTGTGTAAGTCGTATATTTACATGGTTCAAAATTGTACAGAAAGTTATACAGTGAATAACTATTCCTGTTTCAGTTACCTATTTTTCTAACCAGAAGCAACCAAAGAGAAGCATTTCCTAAATAGCCTTCCACAGATATTTTACATATATGTAACGTATGTACATATGTGTATTTATATATATGTAATACATGTACATACATACAAATACTGTCTCCCCAACTACGTGCAGCAGTCCACAGCTTGCTTTTTTTCAATAGGATCGTTGCTAAAAAGTGCTGGTGGTGTTTTTATTAGGCTAGCATTAGTGAGTTAACTTGTTAAATGTCTGGGGGAGGTTTGACATCTTCATGATGTTGCCTGTTCCAGTCCAGGAGCAAGGAATGGCCCACTGTAATCCTAACCCCATCAATGTCTCACACGGCCCCCGCCCCCTCAACACTCACTCCCATGAGTGCACACACACTCACACGCCATCGTCTTTCTGTCTGCCACTAAGGGAGTGAGGAAATCTAAGGGACTGGGGGACACCAAGGTCAACTTCATGGGTGTCTGACCTTACCTGCTGGAAATGAGGCTCCAAACTATTTGAGCTGCTCTTACCAGGGCACTTTGGCTAAGGGGCTGTCCTGGCAAGAGCCCAACCCAGAGACGGGTTCTTGGCATGGGGCTGTCCTGGGGTGGGGATTCAGACCTGCGCCTCGGGGACCTGTACGTGGTGCTGTCTCAAAGCAGGGAGAAGGCAGCAGCCGTCCCCAGGGGGGTTGCTCGAGGGCCTGCTTTGTTGGGTGGGGCCGTGTGAAGGTCTTTCTCACCCCCACCCCGGCCCTCCCACCCTTGCTGTCGTCCACCATAGGCGGGAGGGTGGGTGATCTCCTGAGCTGCCAGCAGGTGGTAGGAGGGGCCCTGACCCCACGGAGGGAGCCCGAGGGCACCCTGGTACGCACTCAGAGCCGTTGAGAGCCAGCGCCGTCCAGTAGGCTTCCATGGGGGCCGTCACCACCGCGTCAAACAGCACCTCCCGCACCAGCTCCTCGTCACCTGGGCAAGATGGAAGGAGACCTGGCTCCTTGTTCCCCGTGATGATGAACACAGCCCAACTGCTCTTCTGGAGTCCCGGGAACAGAATGTGCCCCATGAGTGTCTGGGACATGTGAATCCACCCTGTGAGCTGGAGGAAGCCCTGCCCTCTTCAGCCTTCAGCTCTCCAGCCCCCAAAAGGCAGGTGTGGACTGAATGGCAGCTCAGGCCCTTCCCAGCTCTAGTGTTCAGTGACACGTGGAGACCCTCAGCGACAGCAGACGTGGGTCTGCCCGCCTGCCTCTCCCATCTCCACTCGCAGCACCCTTGACCATTGGCACACACTGGCCTTTTGCCAGTTCTGTGAATTTGAACTTGCTGAGCTCTTCTTTGCCTCAGAGCCTCCGCACATGCTGTTCCCTTGGCCTGGGTGCTCTGTTCCCCAGTCTTTGCATGGGTGACTCTTTTCTCTCTTTTTAAAAAATTTATTTATTTTTATTGAGATAGAATTCACATAACATAAAGCTAATGAATTTAAAGTATATAATTCAGTGGTGTTTAAGCACATTCACAATCTTGTGCAACCACCACCTCTATCTAGTTCCAAACTTTTTTGTCACCCCCAAAGACCCCATAAAGCCATCAGGGTGGTTCTCTTTCATCCTTAGCTTAAGCGACCCCTCCTTACAGAGGTGGCGCATTTCTCTCCCGCACAGCAGCCTGTTCCTGGCACTCGTCACAATCTGTAACAACTCACACCTACACGTGCATGCTAACCTGTCTGTGGTCTGGTCTCCCCACTAAGTTGTAAGCTCCATGAGAGCAAGGGCCTTGTGGGTGGCCTCTGTGGCTCCTGCACCACCCCGGCCCGGCACACAGTACATGCTCAGTTCAGATGTGTCGACGGCATGAATTAATGAAAAAAGAGTGCCCTGTTGGGCCTGCAGAGCCTTCGTGTGGGGGTGACACTTATGTGACGAGATGACCTACTCTTTCTTCTAAAGAGGGGGAACGGGGGCATGCTGAGGGTGTGGACCACAGCGCCGCAGCTGCGTTACTGCGGGGACTTAAGGTCGGCCTGCGGAGCAGGGCCTAGGGACGCTCACAGGCCACAGGCGTTAAAGGCCGTCTGGCCAAATGTTCTTCTCTGTGCAGGTGGGGGCTTCAGGGTGTGGAGTGTTAGCTGCTTGCCCGGGGACCACTTTTCGGTGGTGGTAGGGACAGATCTGGCAGGTGGATGCCCTCCACAGTGCTCTCTCCTGAGCCTTAGAAAGATCCTGGTCCTTGACACGGGGATCCATCATGTCACCATAGTTCCAAGAATATGTAGACACGAGCTTGGCCCCACAGTAAGGCTGGCTCTGCCCTTCTCTTTGGGAATCTCCCTGTTCTCCCTAAGCCATCCATGTGCTCCAGAGATAGGACTGTGGGGCAGCTCACCTCCCCTCCAGCCCCCACCCCTCCCTGCCAAGTCCCGAGCTGCAGGGTCCCAGGGGAAAGTTCGCCTTGCTGGCCAGCTGGCACTCACACTCCAGGTCCGGGTCGTCGCCTGTCAGGAAGCGGACCACAGCCTCCAGCTGGCTGAGCTTCCGGTGCTCGGGGTCGATATCTGTGACGCAGTAGATCCTGGAACCCAGGAGAGTCAGTGTTTCCTTAAAAATCCCACCTTCCCCCTCCCATCCTCTGCTCCCCGCTTACCAGTCACTGGCCAGGCTCAGATCCGGGTGAAGCAAGTCGTGTAGGCCTGAAAGCAGAGCACACGCTCAGGACAACGCTCCCTGCAGGAGGCAGCACCCGCGAGCCTGCACACGACTGCCCAGAATCACCCCAGAATCACCCCTGTCCGCGCTGCCTCTGCTCCCTCACGTGCCCGTTCTCCTTCAGGCCTCGCGGCCACAGCACACTCTTTCTCTGAGGCGCAGGACAAACACCACCCAGCCAGCTGGGGCCATCCCTCCCTCCTCCCCCAGCTTTTTTGTCCTCCTCCCGGGTTGGGTGTCAGTTGGTGTGGGCATGCCCTACTGCTTCTGCTCGCCAGCAGCACCCTGAAGAGGCCACATCGTCTCAGTGTCTCCATCAAAACAGCTAATACTTTGAAGCTGTGGTTTTGGCTTCACTGTACCCGACTGAGTGGAGTGGCTGGTCAGAGATGAGCCCTGAGCTGGGCCCTGTCTCTTCTCTGCCCTCTGAAGCCTCTTGCCCAGCACGGAGCCCGCACCAACCACGAGCTCAGCACACGCCATCGGCTGAATGAACAAATGAGCAGATGCCCCACTGGCACCTACTCACGCTCCAACACAAATAGTGCCCAGTCAAGTTTTGTTACATTGCAGCAGACGGTGATGCCATGGCCCGCAGGGCATCTGCAGAGCCCTGGGAAGTGACACTGGGCTGACGCGGACACAGGCAAACAGCTAAAGGTGAGCCCAGTCGCTCCGGGATTCCAGGCCCCTGGACCACTGGTCTGTCTGCCCACAGAAGTGGGTAAAACACAGCACCCTCTGTCCCCTGGAGAATATCCGCTGGGTAGAGGAGGAAAAGTGTGGGAAGGAAGAGGCACGATGATCGCTTGGGGGACGGTGGGGGACTGCGGAGGAGAGTATTCCAACGCCATGGACATGTGCTGTGGGAGGACAGACACAGGTTCCTGGTGAGTGCGCAGTGGGCACCTAACTTAGTCTGGGTGCGGGGAGAGGGGATCTGCCCAGGACAGCTCCTGGAGAAGTGGCGTCTCGGCTGGGACCTGAGAGTGGGCTGCGGAGAGCTGGGATGAGAGGAGAGCATCCCAAGGGAGAGCATGGCATGCAGGAAGACATTGCAGCCCAGCGCGGGCAGGAACGGAAAGGTGAGGACGCCGTAGAAGGGCCATTAGGAGCGACACAGTCAGGTCGGGCATTTCTAGAAAGACCCTCTGGCTGAAGTTCAGAGAAAGAAAGAGTCAGGGAGACCAGTTGGAGGCTACCGTGGTTGTCAGGAGAGAGGTGACAGTGACCGGAGGTGGCAGAAGGATGGAGTGATGAGATGCTGTCGAGGGCTGGTAAAGGGAATGGACAGTAGAACTGTGACCACATCTTCCAGGGACTTCCAGGGATATTCCTGAGCCCTGGATGCGGGTTTTGTTGTTTTGGGCGCTTGGGCAGCTCTGAGTCAAGGGCAGGTTGGGATGGGGGGCTGTTCTCTCAGGTTCACCTCCCAGCAGCACCCTGGTATGGGTTGAATTGTGTCCCCCCGCAAAATGTTGAAATCCTGACCCCTGGAACCTGGGAATGTGCACTTCTTTGGAAATAGGGTCTTGGCAGATGTAATTAAGTTGAGGTCATCAGGGTGGGCCCTGGTTTGACATGACTGGGGTCCTCATAGGAAGGAGCAGCCGAGCCGCGGTCAGAGGTGCCCGAGGGGAGGAGGCCATGTGGCCGCGGGGGCAGGGCTGAAGGCTGCAGTCCGGGAGCCGCTGGGCCCCAGGAGCTGGCAGAGGCCCGGGGAGACCGTCCGGCCGGGCCCCGCGAGCTCAAGGCCTGGCGAACCGACTCGACCTTCCAGCCTGAGCTGCGACAGAAGCGTGTGCTGCTGCCCGCCGCCGGGTGTGAGGTGGCCGTGACAGCGGCTGTCCCCTGCAGTCTTCCACGGGTCACGTCATGTCCTGCTATGCTCAGCGCAGCCCCGGGGCTCCCGGGTGTGACAGGCGAGGCGGGGCTCACGGCAGCCCCGGCAGCAGGACCATGGAGGCTGCCCTCGGCCGGCCCGCCCGCCACCCCGGGAGAGTCCATTCCCCACTGAACTGTCCAGCACAACCTGTCGCCCACCCACCTTCTTCCACGGACGTGTTCCCCAGAAGGATGTACTCTCCGTGGCCCCGGGACAGCACCACTCCCAGGCTGCGGGGAGAGAAGAGAGGGCGCCGGTTGTCAACAGCCATGGCAGGCCGAGCTCCGGGCCGCCTCGTGCCCCCACCAGCTGCACGGGTGGCAGCCTCTCGCACCCACGACAAGCCATGCCAGGCCCCTCTCTGCCCTTGGCTTCACAGGTGGTCCCTCTAGAACTGACCAGCAGCCTTTCTTCCTGGGAAGGACTCTGGGAATTCTGTAGCCCAAGAGCCCTCTCAGCTCCCGCTTCAACCCAGGCATGTCTTGACCCTCCCAGGGACCCCCCAGGATGGAGAAAGGTCTCGATGTCTCACGGGCTGTTCCACCAACAGGAGATTCCTCTCCCCGCCGGGGAATCCTACTGTGCCTTCCTCTCCTGTTAGAACCTTGGCTGAACACTGAATCACCTAGGAAGCTCTAAGTGACACTAGTGACTGGGCCTCGCCCCCAGAAATTCCGGTTAGACTGGCTTGGATGAGGCGCAGGCATGGGCAACTTGCAAATTTCCTCAGGCCCTCTCGGGAGCAGCCGGGGCTGGGAACCAGGGCTTCATTGAGAAGTGAGGTAATTCGGAGGTACAGGCCACGTGGTCCTGAACTGTGCAGTGCCCAGACACAAACGTGCACCCTGGAGGTGGGAGCGGCCCCTTCCTCGCCTCCTCTCCCGCACTGGTCCTCTTCCTTCCCTCCCTTTCATTCAACAATGCTGACTGGCTCCGAAAGTCGCTCTGTGATAGCGACCAAGGCTGGACCCCATCTGATCCAAACCAGCTCTGCCCTGATCTGGAGTTTGTGCACTAGTCTCAACTCTGCCCCAGATTTCACCTCCTGACAACACAAGGCCCCCTTCATTTTAATGCTTAAATCTCCACCCCAAGAGAACATGGGTTACATGCAACACACACGCTGCCACCCTGCACTTGCACACTCACCCCGCTTGCACGCACAGAGGGATAACCCAGCCCTCCTTGGGCAGCATAAGTTTCTGGAGCTGGATCCTTAAAGGCTGTGACCCCACCTGCTCCGGAGCTTGGTTCATTTCAGGTCGTGAGACCAACCTCGCTCCTGGCTTGCACTACCCCAAAATAAAAACTGCTTTCTGTCGAACGCACGAACAGCTGTCTTCTGTGTTTCCACTGGCATACACGATAGACAGCAACCCTGCAGGTGTTTACTGGTGACAACAGTGAGGACCTGAGAGGTCTTCAAATTCAATGCTTTCGTCTTACGAGAAGGCGCCCCTTTCAGCTAAGTGCGTGTGTGCTCTGACCACTTCACAGAGGGTAAGTAACTTGACTCCGGATACTCAGCCTATAAGGGGTGGAGTTAGCATCTAAACTCAGGCACTCTGGCTCCAGAACTGCACACTAGGCTACACTGGGAAAGCAGGTCTAGACCTCAAGTTTTGAGTGTTGACCTGGGTTTACACCACAAAATTGCCTACTAAATATGAGTAAATCCATCCCCCAAACGTGGAAGTTCTACCGTGAGTTGCTGGAATTCATGTGTCACCCTCCTTTCCCCCTCAAATAAAGCATGGGTCCTCACCTGAAGGGTGTGTCGCTGATGTCCGTGAAGAAGTAGTCATTGGTCAGGAAAAGAACTCGCTTCTGAAAGAGAGGACAAAGCAGGCGCCTGCCGGAGAGGACAGAGGCCGCCGCGCCACCTGCCCCCTCTCCCGCTGCCCTGGAGTTCCCGCACCCTCTGCATACACCTCCTCCCTGACCACCAGCGACTGGCCTCATCTGATTGACACCCACAGGCAGAGCCATCTCATGGTCCAGCAAACTGCACCCTTTGGGGGGTTCCTGGATTAAAGGCCCCAAGTGGACCTGCACTGTCCATCACAGAATCCCCCAGCCTCGTGTGGCTGCTGCCCACTTGAAGTGTGTGGCTGAGAAACTGAACTTTCAAATTTGAGTAAAGATAAATTTAAATCCACACAGCCACTGTGGCTAGTGACTGCCATGTTGGGCAGTGCAAGCATAGACAGACGGTGACTCCAGGTTCCTATGGGATCAGAGAGGAGGCTGCCAGTTGGTGCTAAAAGCTTCGGGAGCTCATCTGTATACAGTCCACGTAGAAGTGCCCCCCTTGAGTACAGCCAAGTGACAATGGGGACATCATTCCCCCTCCATGGTAACCCCTCCTGGGCCACATCGCCCATTTGCAACTTCTTTTTCCTTTCAAATCTGCCACCTTTTAGGGTTCGGTACGATTTGTATAAATTAGGCATCAGGTAGTACATCGTGGCCAAGACCCAGCTCGGCTGCTTACGATCATGTGCTCTTGGTAAGTCACTTCTCTGAGTGCCAGTGCTCTCGTTTGTGAGTCAGGGGTAAAGGTAGCTGTCTTGCGCAGGTTGCTGTGAGGCTGTGTTCTGGGCTCCAAAGTTCTGCGGATTGTCCTGTCTGTGGACACAAGTTTATGCCCCTGGGAAAGCCACACTTTGTAGTTAGCTCAGGACCTGTTCTCATTCCCTCACTTCTTTCCAACTTTTCCTCTTTCCTTTTGGAAACTGAAGTGAGATGTTGGAAGGGACACGTTGCTTGCTATAGGAAGCCGGCGTCAGAGGCAGCCAGAGGGCGCTGTTCTCTAGCACTGACTCGACTCGGGAGATCCCGCCTCTTCTGCTTCAGCCACACAGCAGTTACAAGGATTTCTTGGGAGGTGTCTGGGGGGCCTTGGGAGCGAGCCAGGGCTGTGGTGGGCTCAGGAGCCCTCTGCTCCAACGTGGGGAGCCTGGCTTGAGTGTAAGAACTGGAGATCATCTTTATTTTTTTCCTTAAAAAAAAATTTTTTTTTAAATGGAAGAAAAAGTTGAAATGCACAGATCCTAAGCGTATCATTCAATTAGTTTTGATAAATGTGCACAGTCATGTAACTACCTCTCCAGTCAAGACATGAAGGTCCACGTCCTCTACGATCTCTTGCCTGTCCCCTTCTGGTCAGTCCCCCCCACCCCACGCTCCACAGGTGAGCTCTGTTCGGAATTCTACCGCCATAGATTGGTTTTGCTTGTTCTTATAGCATGCATTCTTTTGCATCTGCCTTCTTTTGTTCAACCCAGTGTTTTCAAGATCCATCGGTGTTGTGTGTGCCAGCAGTCCGTTCTTTCTGTTGCTGAGTGGTGTTCCAGCGTATGGACGGCCTGCAGTTCGCTTCTCCGTTCACCTAGCAATGGATGCTCGGGTTGCTTCCAGTGTGGGGCTAGACTGGATAAAGCTGCCATAAACATTCTGGAATGAGTCTTCCTATGGACGCATGTTTTCATTTCTCTTGGTAAATACCTAGGAATGGAATCGCTGGGTCATATGATAAAAAACTGCCAAACAATTTCCTGAAGTTGTTTTAACATTTTATACTCCCATTAGCAGTGTGTGAGAGTTTCAAATTGTCCACATCCTTGCCAGCATTTGCTGTTATTAGTCTTTTACATTTTAGCCATTGTAGAGGGTGTGAAATGGAAGCTTGTTGTAGTTTTAATTTGCATTTCCCTGGTGACTAGTAATGCTGAGCATCTTCTCATGCTTCTTGGCCATGTGCACATCTTCCTTTATGGAGGGTCTGTTCGAGTACTTGACCATTTTTTATCAGTTTGTCAGTCTTATGATTGCTTTGTAGGGGTCCCTTATGTGTTTTTGGATACAGTTTGTCCTTGCTTTTTCATTTTCTTACTGATGCCTTTTGATGAGCAGAACTTTTTATTTTGATGAAGTCCAGTTAGTCAAATTTTATTTTATGTTTAGTGCTCTTTGTGTTTTTGTCTAAGAAATCTTTGCATATCCTCAGGTTGAGAAGATTTTTCCCTGTGTTTTCTTGTAAAATTAATTTTTGTGTGTGGTGTGAGATATTGCTCAATTTTCCCCATACATTTATTCCATTTGTTGAAAAGACTTTCTCTTCTCCACTTATTTGTTGAGGTGTCTTTACTGAAAATCAATTGGCAATATATGTGTAGGGCTGTTTCCTGATTCTCTATTCAGTTCCATTGATCCATTGTCTATTCTTCTGTCAATACCAATCCTCTTGGTTAGTGTAGCTTTATAGTAAGCTTTGAAGTCGGGTAGTGTGAATTGTACAAATATGATCATCTATTTCAAAATAGTTTGAGCTATTCTAGGTCCTTTGCTTTTTCATACAAATTTTAGAATCACTTTATCTGCTTCTAGAAGTCTGTTAAAATTTTGCTTGAGACTGTTGAATCTATAGATGAATTTGGGAGAATGGAAATTTTAGCAATGTTGATCTTATAACTCTTAAACATGGTCATATCTTTCTATTTATTGAAATTTTTTTCTTTGATGTTCTTTCAGCAATGTTTTGCAGTTTTCAGTGTAGAGGTTGTGTATACCTTTGTTAGATTTATTCCTAAGTATTTTATGTGATTTGATGCTATTGTAATTGGAACTTAATTTCATTTTCTAATTGTTTGCTGCTATATGTAAAAATAAAATTGATTTTTATAATATTGACCTTGTATTCTGTGAGCTTGCTAAATTTACCTGTTAGTTCTAGCACTAGGGAGGGAGATGTCTCTGAATCCTACTAACAGAAAGAGAGAGCAGGAGAGGTTTGGAAGATGAGATAGCAAGTAAAGAGGACCAGAACAATCTGCTTCTTTAATAGATTGCCTCCCTTTGCTGGACCAAAAAAAAAAAAAAAAAAAACGCGCATTTGTGTGTGTGTGTGTGTGTGTGTGTGTGTGGAAGAGAGAGTGAGAGAGAGAGAGAAAGGAAGAGGACTCAAAGTCTCTGGAGGAACACAAGGCACAGCTGCCCTAATGGTCTATGCCAGCTGCAGGCACGCGTGTGTGTGTGCACGTGTGTGTGCACGTGTGCATGAGTGTGTGCATGTGTGTGTGCATGTGCATGTGTGTGTGTGTACATGCATGCACCCAATCAGCAGGTTAATCTGGAAGAATCCAAAGGCCAGTAAAGAACACTGCCTGTCTCTCTCCCTTCCCGACAGCTGATTATTTACTCTAAATGGTCACACAACATGAAAATAATAAGAAGGGTCTTGGGCTACATGTTGCAGGAGACTCTGCTTTTCTGATTTGTCCCTTTAGACATGTGTCCCAGGATACCTGACCAGGACGCTGCTGCTGGGTTAGAAATGAGGACACCTGTGATTGGTTTGCATACGGGGGCAAAAAGCCTGCTTTCAAGGTGGCAGATCGGAGGCCGTCAGGCCAAAGCTGACTCTTAGAAGTTTGATTGGCCCAGACTGCGTTGTTAATGTTTTTGGAATTAGGTGTGCACACTCTGGGCATGGATTTTCAGCTGTCTCCTGCAGATGGCTGTGTGCTCTCCAGCCTGCCAGTGTTCCCAGCATCCCACACCGAGGCCTGCCGGCTTCTCTCATTCCTGTTTCCTCATGTGACCTATTTGGCCCCACAGGTTTTTGAGTTTGTGAGTCCTGCTCTAAATCATGCTGTGGCTGCTGCTACTGTCCTTGGTAATGTCACCACAGCTGCCTGTCTGGAGTTCAGGGGACGGGGAGAAAGGTCTGGATCGGTCTGTGGGAAATAAGGATGCCCGTAAAATCCCCTGCAGGAAACAACAGAATACCCGGGAGGTTGGCTTGGATGACTGTAATGGTTGTCACCACGATGCTGTAGGGAAACTCTCCCTGGTCTAGACCAGGGCCTGGACCCGAAGATCGTTTCTTCTGAGGAACGAGCTGGTAGGTGGAGACACACTGTGGAGCTAGAGAGGGCTGGGGCAGACGGGCGGGCAGGAAAACAATGGGACTGTCTGCTGACTCTGTTCAAGAGTCACGTGGAGGAGACAGGAGTTGGTGGTGAAAGAAGTGTCGCCACATCGAGGAAGAGCAGCATCACGACAGATCAGCGTGGTGACAGGCTGGATCCTGCCCCAGCGGCTTCACGCCAGCAGATGCCCCCATGCCGTGTAGGCTCAGGAGCTTCTGGGGCTGACAGTACAGAGATGAAGGATTAAGGAGCTGAGTTACGATATAATGGGGTGGAGGGAGAGGTGAAGGCAGTGAACTTTAAAGACGGAATAGAAATGCTATTCTAAAGAGACCTTTAGAAAGTCTCTAGGGCTGGAGAGTTGGGAATTGACGGCCAGTTCTGCAGAAAGGCCTTATGCAGCAGCGGTTATGAGTGCGTGTCTACAACCGGATACGTGCGCGCTCTGCAATTTACCCCCTGGGGGACCCCGGCAAGTTTTTAGCCTCTCTGAGTTTCTGCATCTCTACAATGGGGGGAGCACAGCACCTCCTCACAGGGCTGTGACTGTCAAATGAGCGACTAACTGTAGAGTGCTCAGTCCAGTTTCTAATCTTCTTAGCAGACCGCGGCAGCAGGGAGACATAAGCACCTAGGTGGTAGGGACGTCCGTCATGGTCACCGCCGTTGCCCTACTCCTCTCCACTGAAGCACCCATATTCAGGAAGCCTTTGTTAAACTGGAAATACGTAACCCGGGTGGTTTATGAGCAGCAATGAACTGATTTTGAAGAGAAGGGCAGAGGCTTCAGGAGAAGTCCACACTGCTGGGTCTGGTAGGGGGTTGCCTTGGTGGCTTTGAGAAGTGTGAGGGCAGCACGAGGACGCTGGGCACTAGGAGAGACGAGGGGAGACAGCTGCACCAACGCACAGGGTGGTTTGAATTGGATGTGCTATAGTCATACTGTCTGCAAGCTGCCATGTGACACATGCATATTAAACTGTTTACTATAAGTTGAATGCTCTGGCAGGGCTGGACGTTGGTGGGAGTTCCCTTGTGCGTGTGAGCAGAGTCTGGTTGGGATAAGGAGTCTGGTCGGGCGCATGGAAGAAACCTCTGAGTTTTTGGAGCAGGAGAAGAAGCATCTGACACTGTTGGCCTGACATCACTGATATTGCCCAGGCTGCCTAAAGGAGGCCCAGAGCTTATGAAAAGCCAGGCAGATGCCACAGAAATCAGATACCAGTTCCAGTGAAAATCAGTCCATGGTCTAAAAGAGATGCAATACATCGTCTTTCCTTCCAGTGCTTTCTTGTTTGGCTTTCAGAGAGGTCTGTGTTTGTGGAAGAACTTGGGTCTAATTGTTGGAGACAGATGCCTGTGTTCTTTTAGCGGAGACAGATGGGCAACAGGAGGAGGAGGTGGGGGTGGCTGTAAGGGAGGAGGTGACATTTGCAAATATGTCAGGGGACCATGCAAACTCATTAGATGCATTGGAACCTTTTACGTGAGAAGATGAAATGGCCTTTTATAAATGACGTGCAGGTCTGTAAAGATAGTAATGGTACCAGTGAGGGTACTGATTCTCGATCACACGTGGCTGCAGTGGATGAAAACCAGCTTTAGGGAAGAGCAAATATTTTCATCCTCTTCCCATATAACTAACATGTGTTACAGGAGCTGCTAACAATTTGCAAAGTTGTCGCTTTTCCCCTTTCCATTATAAATAACAAAAGGGAAAAACAGCAGGCAGCATAAGGAGGAAAGAAGTGGTGAACAACCCGGGCTGACCCCCTGCCTAGCTCAGTGGTCTCCAAAGAACCGAGCACCTCGCGAGCAGTACCGCGACTCCTCAGCTGAAGTTTCTCTGGGGCCGATGCTAAGTTCAAGTCCCTTGTCACCACCCAAACCTCAACTAACTGCGATGCTGCCTTCATAGCACCATGGGCAGGCTCTTTCTGTCCAGCTCCTTACCCCTTTGTCCAGTGGAGCCTTCACATCCATAGAGAGAGAACCCGTTTCCCCATTGATCATGGCTGTCCTCAGCTTCAGGAGGAAAGAGAATGGAGTTAGCTCCTTGGCTCACACTGGAGGGTGGGAGGCATTGAGTTTTACTGACCAGACTAGAGGTGGCCACTAGGAACAGTTTTGGTTCCTCCCTTTTCCCTTGAGCAGACTACCAGGAGGGAAGATAGACCTGATTCTAGGTTCCATTTAGCTTATAATTCTGGGCATTCACCAAGATAATGCTGCAAAGTGGACTGATGCATGAGGCACATAGTGTCACATCGCTGAGACACAGTTTCCTCTAGGACAAGACAATGGAACCAAAAGCCAGGCTAAAACAACTAAATCTCAAACTCTGAAGCTTGTAGACACAGTTTCGCTCAGCCTCAATAGTCCTTGTGATTCAGGGAGATATTGCTACATTTGTGTAGTTGTTAAAAGAACTGCCGTTAGAGGCATTGCTTCTGGCTGGGACTGGACTGCTCTGTCTGAGGAACAGCGACCTCACAGCTTCCAGCCACGCAGCTGACCCACCCAGAGGGCTACAGAGCTCATCTAATGCCTCCGTCCCTACTTTCCCCACTCACGACTTCAGCGTGGTCTTCCCACTCCACTTCAGAGAGATCCACACTGTTGTAGTTGGGCTTGGGCTTCAGTTGCTTCCCCTCTCTGTACTGGAGCAGGTAGGGAGGAAGAAAGGCGAGGTTAGCATATGGCCCTGCTCGAACTTCCCTCTTCTAGAGAGCCTTTCGGGTCTGTCACAAAGTCAAAGAATCTCAGTGATTCCTTAGGGATATCTGGGCAAACCTCCCACCCACTGCAGAGTTTCCCTTGCCAACACTGGTGACAGATGGTCTCCCAGCCTCTGAGTGTTTCCCATGACAAGGAGCTCCCTACTTTGTGAGTCAGCGTATCACAGTTTTGGATACCTCTAAATGTTAGAAAGTTCTTTCTCAGACAGAGCTGAAATCAGTCTCCACGTAACCTCTACCATCGATCTTAGCTCTTTCCTGGAGCTACACAGACTGTGCTGCACCTGACAGCCCCTGCGATTTTCACAGGGATTTGTCACTCCTAAGACTTCACTTCTCCAAGCTATACCTTCCCAGTTTGCAGATACCTCAACTCCATCTGCATGCGCTCTCCTTTGTCAATGTCACTCCCAAAATGGAGTTCCCAGGACAAAAATCAAATATTCCAGATGGGAAGGACCAGTGTGGTATGGGCTGTGATCTGTGACTCAAGGCACCCTGCAGCTGTGGTGCTGCCTGGGACCCGGCTGGGCTTCCCGGACAGCTGCACTGCCCAGCAGCTCAGATGGAGACTTCAGGCAGCCAGTGAGGTCCCCTGGTCTTCCTCACGTGGTACACCGTTCAATTACATCTTCACGCATGTATGCTTGGGCACGGAGTATTTTGCAGGGCTTCCCATGAATCCCTGATGTATTTCGTCTTGTTTGTTTCAGCCCATTGTTTTAGAAGAACACTTTCTGAATACTAATTTTCTCACTTAATGTATTAGCCATCCTTCAGACTCTGGCATCTGCCTTCTGTATTTTCATCTTGTTGATAGAAATTGTGAATGGGACAGAGATAAGGACAGATCTGTGGTGCTTAATGAAGACCTCCTCCGACTTGATACAGAGCCATTAATCGACACTCTGAGTGCTGTTATTATTTTCCGGCCCTGTCTTCTCTCTCTCTCTCTTTCTCTCTCTTTGATGACAAGACAGATATCATTATCTGTTAGGTCTGCAGCACTTCCCAGATTTAGTAACCCCATCAAAAAAGGAAAGAGAATAGTTTATCATCAAGGTAAATTAAGAATTAAGCAGAGCGTCTGCTTTTAGCAGGATGAGGCCCCCAGCAGATGCTTGGATGGCGAAGTCCCCATCACCACACCTTCTGCTTCTGCCAGTTGTGTGTGTGTGTGCGTGTGTGTGTGTGTGTGTGGGAGCGAGTGCGTGTGTGTGTGAGCGCGTGCGTGTGTGAGTGTGTGCGTGCGTGTGAGTGCATGCGCGTGTGTGAGCACGTGTGTGTGTGCGTGTGTGAGTGCGTGCATGTGTGTGCGTGTGTGTGAGCGCGTGCGTGTGTGTGTGCGTGCGTGTGAGTGCATGCGCGTGTGTGAGCACGTGTGTGTGTGCGTGTGTGAGTGCGTGCATGTGTGTGCGTGTGTGTGCAAGCGCGTGTGTGTGAGTGTGTACGTGCGTGTGAGTGCATGCGCGTGTGTGAGCACATGTGTGTGTGCGTGTGTGAGTGCGTGCATGTGTGTGCGTGTGTGTGCGAGCGCGTGCGTGTGTGTGTGCGTGTGTGAGTGCGTGCATGTGTGTGCGTGTGTGTGCGAGCGCGTGCGTGTGTGAGTGTGTGCGTGCGTGTGAGTGCATGCGCGTGTGTGAGCACATGTGTGTGTGCGTGTGTGAGTGTGTGCGTGCGTGTGAGTGCATGCGCGTGTGTGAGCACGTGTGTGTGTTGCGTATGTGAGTGCGTGCATGTGTGTGCGTGTGTGTGTGAGCGCATGCGTGTGTGTTTCAGAAAAGCATCACCTTTATCTCTTGCCTGTCTGGGGTCGGTGCTGCAGCTGCCACCACAGTCTCCCCCATTCGTCGTTCTTTCCCCCTCACCCGTGCCTGGATGAGGCCCCCACTCTTGGCCTTCTGGTGTCCATATGCATCAGAACGCTCTGTCCTGCCGTCCTTTACACAGGACCTGTTTCTCTGAGTATGGTGCAACATCCCATTGCCATTTCCTAAATCCTGATGACACCTGAAAGATCATCTTTAGCTCCTCATATTAAAACCGTAACTCTGTTTTATTAATTACTCCTACTCAGGGCACTGACATAGAAAGATTTCAGGCCAAATGTATGGCTCTTGACTTCCTTTTAATTTATGACTAGGCATATCCTCTATTATTTTTCTTTTTTTAACTCATCTATTGTTTTCCTGATAGTGCTTTCTTTAGAGATCTTATTACATTAGTTTTACTATATCTTTTGAGCCCTGTGTGGTATTATTCTTTAGTTATTTCATTTGTGTAAGTCTCATCTCCTTAATTAGACTATAATCTTTTGTTGATAACGTTCTTCACAGCATTATAAGGTTAGGCACACAGTAGGTCCACAATATGAACTGACTGGTCGAAGCCGGATATTCATCTAGATTACATAGATGGTGACAGGTGGGTTTCTGATCAGCGCTCTTTAATCCTACAAGTCAGCTCCAGGATCAACATATTTATTACTTTCTAGTGAGTGTGTGCTCACTGTTTTAACTGTCTTTGTGAACTGCCCCAAATCCCATGTAGTAAGGATCCCAAAGCAAATAAGATCTGCACCTACCAAGGGTCGGAGGTCCGGGTGTGAGAGGATGTAGCCATTGTTAGTGTTCAAAAAGGCATATCCGTGCACTCCGAGCTGCCAAAGTCAGGGAATGAGGGGCATCAGACCTGGGGTTTGTGTGGGACGACTGGAGTTGGGAAGGGGTTTAGGGCCACAGATGACTGGAGTTGGGAAGGGGGTTGGGGCCACGGTGAGTTTTTCCAACAGGAAAATAACTGGGTCAGTACCTTGCTTCTATCTACTGATTTTGAGGTCTTTTCCAAATTCTCCTGTTATAACAACCATAATTACCTGACCTCTTTCCCACCACATGTTCTAAGAACTTTGGTGATGTAATCTTGCTCTCAAAACAGGACTGTGTGGCATGGAGGAGCAGATTGAGAAACCGAGGCAGGCAAAGAACTTGCCAAAGGCCACACAGCCAGTCACAGCTAGTGGTGGCAAAGGACCCCATGTTCAGCACCCCCACTTCTCTGGGGGACCAAGGGAGGGGTCCACCCCAGCTCTAGGCTTGGCTGCCACTGCCTGGGAGTGTTCCTGGGGTGCCTGTGACCCCCCCCCAGGGACCTGACCAGGCTCACCTTGTACCGGGGCGCCAGCTTCATCAGCTCTCTCAGGGCCACATCAGAGCCCACCACACCCAGGAGAATGCCATGGGATCGCTGGAAGGAAAAACACTAGGGTCAGGGGGACAGCTCCCCTGTGCGCAAGTCCAGACTGGACCCTAGGCCTTTCCAGAGCCCAGAAGAGGAGGCCGCTTAGGCTTTAAGGGGTCCTTCCTCTGCAGTTAGAGTTAAGGCTGATTTTTCAGAATAAAAATCTAGAACCTATAAGAAGGGGCACCAGGAGCAATCTCAGTTGCTGAGAAGATTAATGCCCAGTATTAATATTTAAGCTGTAGTATTTAAATGAAATACAAAGTTGAATGAAATATTAATCTTCATAGCAGAGGCTGAAATATTGGGATCCTAGGGACCATAACTTACAGGTGCTCTGAACACACACGGCCCATAAGGAAACATGTCCTGACCAGATGGAGGATGGAAAGCTCTAGAAACTCCCTGCCAGAGGCCTTTACAAACCAGTTACAGTCTGCTCAACCTGGTAGATTAAGTGTGGCCTTTCTGGCAGGCTGCCAGGCAACCCTTCTAGCCTTATACCTCCAAGGCAGGGGCCCCAAAAGCAGAGCAGGGGGTCTACCCTCACCAGCTGAGCAGAATCGCTGGGCGAGCTTTGGAAAAGTATGGACCCCAACCCTACCCCCGATCGAGAGATTCTGATGTAGCAAGTCTGCCTGGGGCCTGGGAATCTGCATCCGAGCCCTCCCAAGGCGGCTCTGCCGCTCAGCCAGGTCAAGAGCCACTGGTCTAAAGCCACCAGCCAGTGACCCCAAGATCTGGGAGCGGCCACTCACCGTCTCATTCTTCTTGCTGAAGACCGGCATGGCCACGGTAGTGAGGAGCATCAGGCTCTGTGCCTGCGAGGCGGGGAGCTGTCAGGAGGAAGAGCAGAGGCCGGGGGTGAGGCTGCTTCTCTGAAAAGGGCGAGCTGGCAGCGATGCTGGGGAGAGGTGGGCTGGAGGGAAGGGCCAGGCCACGGCATGCAGCAAAGCTCTGAGCCACAGCCCCGCCTGCTCACAAGGCTCTCTGAGCTTGTCCAGGCCCAGGGGGAGCATAAACCAGGAACAGGCTCATGCAGCGGCTGCCTGGAGACAAGGTGGCACCGCCCACCAAGAGCTTTTCCAGAAACCTCTGATATGGACCTGCAGTTGCCACAAACTGTAGCCCAGACAAGGTAAGAGGGAGAAGGACATTGACCCAGAGCTACCTGCAAATACAAGCGCACATGTGAGGAACCACGGCCAAGGGCCATCTGCCTCGGGGCACCCTAACACACGTGGGGCAGGCCTACCGCCTCTGCTCCACTTGGATCACCGGGCAGAGTGGCTCCCCGCCCTGGGGTGCTCTGCTCCCCGACTGACTGATCCTGCTGTATGGGCTCTTCGGCTGCCTCGGACGGGGCTCTGCATGTGTGGGCCACGCTACAACACGGACGTTCCCAGAGATGTGTGCACACACGTGCTTCCTACGTCCCATCTGCGTTTAGAGCAACTGAAGGAGGTCGAAGAACTTTTTAACCATCCAGTCTCTTCCCCTTCCCTCACCGGATTTCTCAAGCTAGAGTTTGGAAGTAAGGTTTTCCAAAAGTGAACCATGATGACATCTGATGTTTTTGAGCGCAGACACGTCTCTACGGCCTGATGAAGGCTTTCGAGTCTCCTCCCTGAGTTACGAGTTTCGGAAGCCAGAAGATGCTCAGCTCCCACCGCCCCAGCCGGCCTCTCTGGGGAAGTGGCTCCCGGGTCTCGGCAGCCCCCTCCCTCCCACTGTCCTTCAGGAATCCTCTCACACCCTGGCGGGTCCCAGTGCGGCACACGCTGTCCCTGCACTCTGGTCTCTGTCCATCAGTGCAGGGTGGGACACCTGCCCTGGACTCAGGGGAGGGGCCTCCTCAACGCAGAGGTTCCAGAAGTGGGTCTTGGAGGTGTACAGGTGATGCTCAGCTTCAGGGACTAAGTCAGAGACAAGGAGAAGGAAGGAGGAAGATGGAGGAGATGGAGGGACTTGGGGGGTTTTCTAATTGGGGGGACAGGTGACATTTTTAAAGTGAAGATGTAACTGTGATCTCATTTGTGGGCATGGAGGGAAGGAGAGACCCTGGAAGGTCAGGTGGTCCATGAAATGTCCGAGGACGACCCGGCATAACCTGTCTGAAATCACTTTTATAGTGTTGGAGGGAAGCAAGTTGCCTCTACCCACCTCCACCCTTCTTCCCAACACACACGCAAACACCCCAGGCTACCATTAGCAGGCGTGGCTATCACTATGGGGGGCCCAGGCTCCTCCCAAGGACCTCAGGGTTCTGAAGGCCTTCCCGTTGCCAGCACCCTTGGCATGAGCACAACCCATGCCCGAGGGGAGCACAGACAGAGCACACTGCAGAGGTGCTCCTCACACGCCAACTTCTGCAGGGCACAGAGGCGAGGACGGGGGTGCAGGAAGGACGGGAGGCAGCGAAAGCGTGGTGCCAGGGAAGATAAGAGGGGGGAAGACCCTCTCCTTCCTGCCTTCCTACCCTGTCTTTCTGTCCCCGTCCCCCCATCTCTCACCGACCCCAGACAGTCAGGGCCCTATGGACAATGAACACCAGGACACCAGAACACCAGGAGTCCCTGTCCGTGGAGGGCAGGCCTGGGTGGGTCTGCTGGGGTGGAGGGGCTCTTGGTCTCCAGGGGCGGCATATGGCAGCAGCCCTGGTCGCGGGCCGAGGAATGTCGGGGGAAGGAGGAGAAACCTCTCAAATGAAGCAAGCTCTGCCCTTCCGAGCACTGGCTTCGGGAGCAGCAGTTAGAGATAGCAGGACGACATCTCCTGGGCATGACCTTGTTGGCTGAGCCCCTTCAAACTAGATCAATGAGCTTTTTATCCCAAACTTGGCAAGAGGGTTTGTATCTACTATTAACATGTAGAGGTGGTGTGCCACTGCCTTTACACACAGCGAGCCACCAGAATAGCTTCCTTTGCTGCTAGGAATAAACACGGGATGTGGCTCTGGTCAATGAGATGTAAGCTCATGTGTCAGGGAGAATCCCAGAAGTTCCTTCAAAGGGGTGCAGCATGCCCCTGTCCCCTCTCCCCTGCTGATGCTCGGAATGTGCTTCCAGCTAACTAGAGTTCCACTAGCCACTTGGGCCAGAAAGAGGAGAGTTACATGTGCGGACAGCGAAGGGGACAGCAGGAAGCAGCCTGGGTCCCTGATGACCAGAGAGCTCCTCTTCAGCTCTGGGCTGCCCACTCCAGACTCCTTTTACATGAAAGAGAGACACCCTTTATCTTATTTAAGCCACTGACTATAGGTCTCTCTTAATCCCAGTCTGATGTGTCATCATGGACACAAGTGGCTGCATATGTGATGTGATTTGAGAAGGGGCAAAAAGGTCCCCCTTCCCCAAAACACCTCATCTGAGCTCTGCCTTGGCCATTTATTCCTTTGTGTGAGTCGGTGCCACCTACGGTCTCTCTGAAGGTGCAGGCCCTGGGAAGGGAGAACACGGTCAAGCTGAGGCATCGTGGAGCACTGGTCAGACTCTTTTCTTCCCACAGTAGGTGGGAGAGAGGGACAGACAGGGAAGAGAGGGCAACCGGGGAGGAGGGAGGAACAACTTTGGAGCAGGAGTCCCTGTCCGTGGAGGGCAGGCCTGGGTGGGTCTGCTGGGGTGGAGGGGCTCTTGGTCTCCAGGGGCGGCATATGGCAGCAGGAGAAGATGCACCAAAGACCGGCTGCACAGTGTCCTTCCTAAGGAGGCGCCACACCCCCCACCCCTCCTGATGCAGGAGGTCACCTCTGACTCCCCGCGGCCCCTAATTCTGGAGCGGGGTTCCCCCCCCACCGCCCCCACTGCCTGGAGCCGCCTCAAGGCCCCACCTTGCTATCCATGTAGGCTTCCGTCCAGGTGATGTCGTGGTCGTGGTTGATGACCATGGGCCGGCTGAGCACATGCAGGTACTCCATCACGTTCTCCTGGGCGTCTGCCAGCGTGGAGATCTGCGTGTAGTAGCCTGGCAGGGGGAAGGGGAAGGGTCAGTGGCTGTGGACCTCGGCAGGCCCCATGCCCTCCCCCTCTGCTGACGGCTCCCTCTGGGAACTGCCCTGGCCCAGGGACTTCTTCCCCAAGGTTACACCCTCACCAGTGGGACACAGAGGCCCCCCTGCCTCACCTCGGGGAGCTCTCAGGGCCTTCCCCGCTGCAGAGCTGCTCCCTCCCCAATCCTGTCTCCCCACTTCCCTATGGGGGACCTCCCAAGAGCACCCTCCAGTATGTCTTCTCCATGTAACTCTCCCCTGGGGTCTGTTTGCAGGGAGCCCAGCCAATCTAAGACAGTGAGTCCCGCGCCCCCCCAACCTCCTTGTTCCACTGATCACTGTCCTTCCTCGGGTGTGGGATGTCACAGCCGCTTCACTGTGGCCATAGCGATGTTTAAAAGAGCAGGGGCTCATGCAGCTGTGAGTGGTCAGCACTGTTTATGTCTCAGCCTCACTCCTATCAGCTCCCGCAGACGTTCACCCCACGGCCAGTCCCCGGCATGTCTGTCATCTCAGCCTCTGAACATGCTGCTCCCTCTGTCAGCAACACCTTTCCCTTTGCCCCCAGACTGGGGAAGTGCCTCTGCCAGTGCTCCCCAGCACCCCGCCCAGGCTGTGCCTGTCCACCGTCACAGCACACAGCAGATTACACCGTCACCGACGGTTTACTCATTTGTCCCCTGCTGGACAGTACCAAGAGCAAGATTGGTCCTGAGTCCATCCTGAGCACTCTCAATTCGCAGGGCCTGGAAAGAGTGCCAGGCGCACAGCAGATTCTCAGCAAACTTCTGTTGAATCAGCAGTGCCTAAGAGGGCACCGCGCAGCCCAGGTCGGAGATAATGAGGACTGTTTTCACACAAAACATTATTCCAAGGGAAATGGTGATGCTCTGCTTTCTGTCTGGGAGCAGCACCAGAGTCAGTGGCTTGATTGCCACAAGGGGATGGATGCAGGACAGAAGAGAGAGCTCACATTGAGAATGCTGGTCCCACCCCAGCCTCCCCCTGGCTTCTATATGGTAGTTTGGTATAAGGCTTTATTTGAAGAGACAGTTCTTCTTTCTTGCTCAAACCCTGCAGAGATGACCTCTAATTGTCATTTCAGGTGACCTTATGACTTAGAGTCCCTCCAGAAGTAATCGAGCATTTCCTCAAGGCTTTGTAGAGAAATCTACATTTTGTCTTGCTTTTTCCAACTAAGCAGAAGGAGGGGCAGAGACTATTATTCTCGGCAGAGCACAGCTCCTCAGCAAGGCCCATGTGGAAGCCCCAGAAGCCCACTGCAGAGCTAGGGCTGGAGCTCACAGACCCCTCAAGGCTGTTGTCCAGACTGGGCCACACACCTTTCACGCACAGGTCTATGAGCTAGGTAACAGGAAAAGGTTCTTGGAGCCGTGCGTGAAGAAACAATAGGCTTTATTTTTAGATGCGAGCTCTGCCGACCTGCAGTTCAGAGCCTCTGCCTCACCCACCGAAGAGCACACAAAAATAGCAACAAGCATAAGGATACACGAGTGCACATGTGCACTAGCTCTACTCCCACACAACTTGTTTACAAAGGATGCGCTGCACCACACCCAACCAGACCAAGGCCAGCGGCCCTGACTAAACTACTCCGTCTTCCTCACACCTATGCTCAGCGCCTTTGGGCCCAGCATGCTGTCCTGTGCTTAGGCGCAGCTGCAGGGTGCTCTCACCTTTGTTGTTGCAAGCAATCCACCGCATGCGGTCAGCAAAAGTCACTTCTCTCCCAATAAGGTAAGTGAAAACTCGGACCTAATCCACAACACACAGATCAACTCAGCAGCCACAATTCTGGGCCATAAGTAGTGTTAACATTATCCACGTGAGCCTAAAAAGTTGGGTCAGGCACTTTCCAGTCTTTGGGTTCTCCAATCCCACCCCCTTTGATGAGAGAAGTCCCTGTGGCCCTGGTAGCAGCATGGCTTGCCCAGGGCACAGTGACGGCAGGGCAGGATGAGGCCGAGGTCCACAGCCCAGCAGTTCCATGTCTCAAAACTGCATTGTTCCCTCACCCTGAAGTCCCTCACTCCAGGCTTCTGTGCCCACGGGTCGCCATGATTTTGGAACACCAACGTAGGATGTATCTGAATCTATGAACGGGCCTACTGGGAAAGAACATTTGGGCTCCAGGCCATTCTCTTCTGGGTCCCACCGGTTACCCCACGGCAGTGGGAGAAGCTCCCTTCCCCCGTGACCTCCGCCGGGAGAGTCACCTTGCGGTCTGGCCAGTTATACTGCTCGAACACAGGCTTGTAATCCTCCACAGCCCCATCGGTGATCAGCATGATGGCCTGGTTGCAGAGACTTCCTTGCCTGGCCTCCTGGAACTGTGGGAGGCGGGGAGGGTGCCGTGAAGACCTGCCCCTTCCTTACCCCCTCCCCGCAAGTCCCAGTGTCAGCAGCTGCGGGCACCTGCTTCAGGATCTGGAAGGCTTCACTCAGGGCTTGGTTCACCACTCCCACGCCTTTGACCATCAGCCCATCCACCAGCTGTTTGAAATGCTGTCGCGGGTGAGACATTAGAGGAGTCAGTGGGTTGAGAGGGCCAGGGGATCTTCAGCTTTGGCCTTCACTTAGGATGCTGTTTAGCTATTATCCAGAGGGACATGACTGCAGGGCCCGTGTCTCCATGATGCAGCTAATTTCATGGACTGGACCCCTTCTATAGAAGTTTCTCAAACACCCCCAAGATAAACTGCGAGAGCAGGAATGGCCTGGTACAAATCCGTGCCACCCCTGCAGGGAAATGCCAAAGGCAAGGCCACCCGGGGGGGAAAGTCCAGGATGGAGGCAAAGAATGGTCTTGCCCACAGCCAGCGGTGAGCATTTCTCAGGAAAACTGTGGTGGAGCCCGGGGCTGAGGGGGACTCAAGAGGAAGCCACACCCAACCCCCAATTGCAGAGGGAAGGATCTGTGACGCGTGACTCCTCCCTTCTATAAACCGTCCTCACATCCTCTCCCCCTCGGTCTTTTACCAGAAAATAGGACTCAACCCAACGGGTTTGAATTTGTCCTCCTTTTGGGGAAGCTCCTCATGTAGACTGACATACTGGAAAGGCCCACGTGGGAGGCAAAGGAGGAAACTGAGTCCTGGATGATCCGCAGAGTGAAAAACCAGCATAAGCAAGAAGCCCTAGGGTGGGAGGTCTCTGATAGCTAAATGCACATGTGCAGGGTGATCTCCGGGGCGAACTCACGTGGGTGACTGCCAACTGGCTCTGCTCTTTCCAAGTGCCATGGAAACAAGCAAAAGGGCCGTGGAAGCAGTCTGCATGGACGACTCCCCCCAGCCTGAGGACAGCAGGGGCTCAGAAGCACCGGGCCACAAGTGGACACTCACCTCGCGGTTGTCTCGATCTGCCTGGACAAGGATCCCTTTAAAGCAAGGCTCGATGTAGTAGACGTAGTCGTTGTACTGCAGTCGCAGCCAGTGGAGGGGCGGGTGGGGCAGGGACAACAGGACCAGGTTGGAAAGTCAGGCCCCACGGAGACGCCCAGCAACTCACAGGGGGGTGGGGCAGGGCTCGCCTAGGCACCTGCACGGTGTCATCTGGGGCACCCTACACGCTCTACGCTACACTCTCTATGCTTACTGCAGTTTTTCTGAGCAGGGAGAACAGGGCCTTAACTCTAAACAGCCCCGTCCACCCCGCTCCCCTGCCAGCTTTGCTCAGTGGCTCATGTCCTGGAGCGCACGGAGACCTGCAGTCAGGGAGAGAGCCTTTGTACTCCGCCCCAAGAGCAGACGAGGTGCCTTCCGCCACCTGCAGGGCCCTCCCCACCCTGCTCTTCTCTCTGCCTTGCATGTGTGAAGAGGGTCCTTCAGCTATCAGCATGGGATGGGAGTTGGAGGAAAAACGAGTCATTCCTGCTTCCCCCTAGATGAAATACAAATCTTCAAGGTGTTCCTAATCTGCCTTCTGTGTAAATTAGAGGAGGAGAGAAGGGGAGATGGTAAGAACACCAGGGAAGAACTGCACGGGTGCTCTGGGGAGAACGTCAGGAGTGAACGCTCCCCCAATTGCTACCCCCCAACAGCTGGAGAGGCTGGGCCTGGCCGAAGGGAGGGTGGGCAGGCTCCAAGGCACGAGTGCTTGGCCCCACTCTCACTGGGTGCCTGTCACTACTGCAGGTCCAGGGACAGGGATGGTGAGGAGACCAACACAGGGAGGGTGGGGTCTAGGAGAGAGGCAGGTGGGTAAATTGAGGCCTCAGGGATGGGGTGACAGCTTCACCCCTCAACATGATACTTTTGAAGTTAGACAATTTTGCCTTGGTATTTCTTTACTAGATAAGTAAATTCCACTAAAGATAAGAATTGTCAGCAATGTGACAGAGTGGTGGACAAAATTTTGGGATCAGGAGGCTTTCAAAATTATACCACCAAAGTGGCTGTCAACGCTGCCTCCTTAGAGGTAGAATGGCCCACGTTTCGTTTTGTTTTAAATTGTATCTCCCCTTTTCTTTCTTCTTTATTCCTCCTTTCTCCCAATGCGTCTGGATTTGGGTGGGATAAAGGAAGTGGGAAAACTGGAATTGTAAATCAAGACCCCAGGGACCATCCACGCTACAGCGGGATGGAGAGGCTATTCCAGCGACGGGCGCCAGCCAAGAGCACGGGATGCACATAAAGTAATTCTTACTCAGGCTGGCGATTCCTCACCACTGTCAGATCCTAGACTCCTCTGAGGGACTGATGAAAGATGTGGACTCAGAAAAATGGTCGTCCACACTTTACATATAATTCCAGAAACGTTACGGACCTCTTGACGCCACCCTTGGGCAGACCGTGGACCTCAGGCTAGAGAAAAGAACCGTTCCGCAATAGCAGGCACTGAGCAGCTGTAAGAGCAGGTCACTCTGGTGCAGGTAGAAGGAAGATTTTTCTAGAACAAGTGAGAACTATTCCAGAACAAGAAGGCTGACTTACTGCGATGATATTGACAAAGTCGTTTTCTCCCAGGGTGTCCAGGATGGTGGAAATGGTGTGCTTGGCAATCGTCATCCGCAGCCCCTTCATGCTGCCACTCACGTCCACCACTATCACTATGTCCTTGGGAGAAGTAGCAGCTTGAATGTACCTTTAGCAGAAAGAAGAGACAGACCAACGAGGGGAAAACCAAAGCCAGAACAGTCACTTGACCGAGAGTCTCTGGTTATTTCCATTTGGATTCTGGCCCAAGTGTACCCAAAGTTTAGGTCAATGTCCCATCTATGCCAGGTTTTATAATGTCCCATAACCACTGGACAGCCTTCTGAAGCTACTTGGGGTGGCAATAGTTGGGAACATGCCTGCCTAACGGGCCAGGTCAAGCCCTGGGGGTAACCCTTGTCCTTTTTGATTTAGACCAGCCAGGGTCCCTGAGGGACTGGCGGCAGGAAGAGAGACAGCTGGAGTCCACCCTCAGATTCTGTTACAAATCTGCCAAGAAAGGGGTGTCAAGGGAGAGGAGAGCCCAGCAGAGAGCCCTGGAAGGAGGTTTAAGTTGGGAAAGACAAATACGATCAGTCCTGGAGCAAGGGCAGTTGTAGAGGGAAGGGAGGAACGTGGCTACGCATCGAAGGACCTTGAGTGGTGGTGGGGAGGGGGCAGGAGTGGAGGAGAACTAGGTGAAACCCAAAGGCCATAAGATAAGTGCCAGACCGGAGACCTTTCCCCTGGGAGCGCCTACCAGCCACGGTTCCGACAGTCGAAGGCAATGACTCCATTCTCATCAGGTGTCCATTTTATACCTGGGGAAATAAAGGCTGTTTTTTTCCTAGCTCAGTGAAGCAGCCCCAGTGCTCCTGGTTGGGTGCTGACTCCCAGGATGGCCATGACCTCCGGGCAGGACCAGCTTTGGACCTTAGCAGCAGGGTGTGGACCATAGACTATACCCTATAAACTGACGCAGCCAGACAGGAGGGAGGCCACCTCTAGGGAGAGACACCTACCATCCAAACCCCCCAGATTCAGAGCTGGGGGTAATTTCGCAGGTTAGACCCTCATATGTGGTGTCTGGGACTCATTTGTAAGGCTGAACCTCATATCAAGTAGTGGAAAGGAAAGCTTTGGGAAGGTGTGACTTCTAACATTCGTTACCATCCAGGAAACCATGGACAAAGTGGTGAGACAACTAAGTGCCCTGACTTCTAACCCACCTGCCTCTAGCCAGGCTAAGCTCATTAGCACTTGTGATCCTTCCTGTTGGCTGGGCTGGGGGAAATGCTTTGGCTATATGACTGTAAGTAACTTGAGGTCAGGGATTCTCAGCAACTAGAGAGTAGATGCTCAGTAAATGTTTATCATCTGAACAGAAGAACAATTGAATGAGTATGAAAGATCTTGTTTTGATGCACAAAAGGATTTTCATAATTGGGAATAGTGGATTCAGAATAAGAAGATTAAGAATAACAGATGACAGGGGCCTCAGCCATATCCCACCTGACATCCACAACCAGCCCAGAGACAACCACTGAGCTGCTGCAGGAAGCACCCTGGGCTCCCGAGATGGAGCGGTGGGGGGCTGAGGGACTCAGCCATGTCCCCCTGAAATCTGCACCAAGCCCACTGATGACCACTGAGCCACCACCAGAAATGCCCCGGACTCCTGAGCCAGGGAGGTGCGGAGCTGAGGGCTTCAGCCACACCCCTGACATCAGCATCTAGCCCAGCAATGACCAAGCCACTGCTGGAAGCCCCCTGGTCTCCCCTGCTGGAATGAGAGGGGTGCCACAGGCCTCAACCATGCCCCCTCCTTCCTTCTCCCTCCACCCTATTCTCCTCCTTCTTTCCCTCTCCCCCTCCCTCCAACTCTCCACAATATCTTAGAATATAAAAAAATAATAATATTAACAAATAAATAAAACAACACTTAGACACTTTAAAGAAAAGAATAACAGATGAAATTATAATATGTTGTGCTTGAGCTAGAAAAAAATTGTGTGCAGTATCATGAGTGTCTAGAACTCCAGGAGAACTTCCTATTCCACAGCAGTTAGACTTGGCTGAGATGTACTCTTTGAGGCATCGCTAGTCTCTCAAAGGTAAGAGAGTTTTATAGCAACCATGCACCCAAAACCAAATGAAGGAGAACAGAGTCTTGAGGTTCAGGGATAGAGACCAGGACAGCCAAGAGCCAAGGCCTTGGAGGTGGGAAGCAGGACCAGAGCCATGGGCAGTGTTGGTGTCCTAGTTGCATGCATTTTCACTTCTATGTGTCTACATATGTTTTTATTTATCCTGCCTTTCTACGGCCACATTCTTACAGCAATGTGTTCATGGGGAATTTGATCCTTAGAATAGCAATGAGAAGGAGAAGCTGAGTCTGAGGTTCTTGGCTCTGAACAAAAACCTTAGAAGTGGTCTTTGATGGTCCTGGATGGAGGTACTCTCAAGTCCAATTTATCCTCCCAAGAATTACAGATGTTGGAACTGCCAAATATGAAATATGGAACAGGTATATGTGAGAAGAACATACAATACAAAGAAGAATATACAACAAGGACCAATCAGGAATGAAGAAACAGCCTTAAAGTATGGAACTTTTAGGAATGAAAAAATATTTAGTTTGAAAAAATAAATTAAATGGATAGTGGATTATTCATAAGTAAAGAGAAAATTCACACATTTGAAGGATTTATCCAGGATCCTGTTGAGGACAGAATGAGGTGTAATACATGTCTGCTTGGAGATGCAGAAAGGCAAAAGGAAGAGCATGGGAAAGACAATGGTTAAGGAGAAAAGGTCAGCAGATGTTCTAGAACTGATTAAAAAAACACAACTCAGGGCCGGCCCGGTGGCACACTGCTGCGCCAAGGGTTCGGATCCCACATACAGACCGGTTCCCACTCGCTGGCTGAGCGAGGTGCGGGCGCAACACCGAGAGTTGCGATCCCGTTGCCGGTCCTGGTCCGGTACAGGCGCAACACTGAGGGTTGTGATCTGTTGCCAGACACGGAAAAAAAAAAAAACAACTCCACAGATTCAGGAAGCACAGTATATCTCAAGCAGGATAAATAAAAACATATCCACACGTAGACACATAGAAGTGAAAATGCAGAACTTCAAAGGCAAATAAATAAATGAATACCTTGAAAGCAGCCAGAAAGACCAAAACACCTACAAAGGAACAGCAGCTAAACTGATAACAGGTTTTCTCAACATCAGTGGAAGCCAGAAGACAGTGGAAAAACAGTTTTAAGGTGTTGATAGAAAGGAACTGTTAATTTAGAATAGCATTCCCAGCAAAGCTATCATTCAAGAATGATGATAAAAGAAAACATTTGTAGATAAATACAAACTGGAGAAGTTTATCACTGAGAGCCCTGCTGTAAGGCACTTCTGGAAGATCTACTTCGAGAAAAAGAAAATGATCTGGGAAAGATAGCTCAAGAGGCATGAAAGAGTGGTGAGCAAATGAAATGGTAAACTAGCAGTTAATTCCAAATAAGCAATGTTTATATCCAATAACAATAACAGTGTCTGATTTATGAGGATGAAAAGTTTGAAAATTAGATGACAATGGAATGGAAGTCAGGGTGGGGGAAGGAGAGGGAAGCACAAAAGTTCTAAAGTCTATTTCGACTGGGAGGAGAGTAAAAGTAGTATTTAATTTTAACATTTTGTTGTATTAAATATGGCTGACAAGATTGCACAGGTAATTACTGAAAGAATAAAAACAGAGGGATATGTTCCAAACTGATAGAAAAAGAGAGACAATGGGGTAATAAGAGATTTACCAAAAAAGGTTAATCATTAAAAAAGGAAAAAAGCAAACATAAAAACATTGGGACAAGTAGAAATGTAAAAAATAAGGTAGCATGTTCACATATATCAGTATTAGAGATAAATGAAAATGTGTTTAACTTGCCAACTAGCAACAGAGATCAACAGTTTGGATAAAAATTTTAAAGCTACAAACCATTTTCAAGAGATGTGGCTGAAACAAAAGGACATAAAAAGGTTGAAAGTAGAGGGATGGGAAAAATATATACCAGGGAAATACTAATCAAGAGTATGCTGGAGCAACTGGGAGACTTCCAGTCAAGATGGCGGAATAGATGGTCCCTAGTGTCACTCTCTCCCACAAATCAACCGATTTACAACTATAAAAGCATAACATCAAGTGCATAAGGAAGGGGGAGATGTCCAGTGGGGGAGGCAGAAGCTCCGCGGAGAACACATGCCCTGTGGTGCCACCATCGCATGATCCAGCAGATAGGCTTCACTGCTGCCACCTGGCTCCATTCCCAGCCCGGCCCAGTGTGCATGGAGTGGGGAGACGTCCAGGAGGGGAGGCGGAGGCTCCACAGAAAACACACACCCGGTGGGGCCACCACTGTGTGATCCAGCAAGTAGGCTTCACAGCAGGCACCCGGCTTCATTCCCAGCCCGCCCCAGTGCACACGGAGCAGGGTGATGTCCGGCAGGGGAGGTGGGAACTCTGCAGGGACCACACCACTGTCGCGGGATCCAGCAGCCCAGCCCAGTGCACGCGGAGCAGGGAGACATCCAGTGGGCGAGGCAGAAGCTCTGCAGAGACCACACCGCTGCTGCGCGATCCAGCAGCCTCTCCCAGTGCATATGGAGCAGAGAGACATCCAGCAGGGGAGGCGGAAGCTCTGTAGAGGCCACACACCCTGTGGGGGGCCCACTGCTGCACGATCCAGCAGCAGGTAGGCTTCACCACTGCCACCTGGCTCCATCCCAAGCCCAGCCCAGCACGCACGGAGCAAGGAGACATCCAGCAGGGGAAGGGGAAGCTCCACAGAGACCACACACTCTGCGGTGCCTCCGCACATCCCAGCAGCCTGGCCCAGTGCACGCAGAACAGGGAGATGTCCAGCAGGGGAGGTGGAAACTCGGCAGAGAACACACACCCTGCGGTACCACCCCGTGACCCAGCGGCCTGGCCGAGTCCAAGCTGAGCAGAGAGCTGGCTCCCTGGCGAGGTCCAAGACTCGAGGCAACCACATACGCAAGGCACTAGTGGCCAACTGATCAGTCACTGAGGTAGCCATAACAAATTGGCAACCCCAACAACATCTTAGTCAGACAATAGTGTCAAATCTGTGGACTGTGAAACCCCCTGCCACAATGAATAAACATCAAAGAAAAGATACCAGAAATATGAAAAATCAAGAAAGTACACCACCAAAGGGTAATAACTCTCAAGCTCTAGATCCTACAGAACAAGAACCCCTTGAAATTACTGACAAGGAATTTCGAGTGATAATTCTAAGGAAACTGAATGAGATACAAGAAAACTCAGCTAGACAACATGATGAAATGAGGCAAAGTATACAGGACCTGAAAGAAGAAATGTACAAGGAAATCAATGCCCTAAAAAAAAAATGTAGCAGAACTTGCTCAGATGAAGAATTTATCCAACAAAATAAAAAACACAACGGAGAGTTTAACCAGCAGGCTTGCGGAAGTTGAAGAGAGAACCTCTGAACTTGAACATAGGCTGTTAGAAATAACACAGGCAGACAAAAAAAAAAAAAAAAAAGAAAGAAAGAAAGAAAAGAAAAGAAAAAGAAAAAGAAAAAAGAATCAAAGGCATTGAAGAAAATCTAAGAGAGATATCAGACAACCTTAAGCGCTCAAATATCCAAGTCATCAGTATTCCAGAAGGGGAGGAAAAAGGATACTGCATTGAAAACATATTCAACAAAATAGTGGCAGAAAACTTCCCAGGTATAGGAAAAATCACAGATCTTCAGATCCAGGAAGCTCAAAGATCTCCAAA